TGGAGGGGGGCGGAGGGGCAGCAGGAGAATGGGTGGGTGGCAATTGCAGAGTCCCCAGGAGCTGTGGGCAGGAGCAGGGGACCGAGTCGACGTCTTCCCAGCATCTGCCGGGCCTGGTCCGGGGGGTGGGTCGGGGCAGTCGGAGGGAGCCCCCACCCTAGTGCCTCCTGCACACGCGCAGCCCTGGGGCCCCCTCGGCCCCATGGAGGTGGCGATTGGAGTCAGAGAGCAGCCCCGGGGCATCCGAGTGGGCGGCAGGGTCTCTGGGAAGTCCCGTGAGCGACGGCGCCCGCACTCTGGGCACCTGCCTGGGTCGGAGGCCTGTCCGGGCACCCCTGTGTCGCTCCCAGGGGATGCGTGGCCCGTGCTGGAGGCGGGGTGGGGGGTGGGGGGTAGGGGGTGGGGGGCACCTCCCGTCAGGCCGGGACCTGCCCTCCCCTGCGGGGGGGGGGGCTCCACTGCCGGCTCCTGGAGAGCGCCCTCTGACTCGGTTTGGAAAGTCGTTATCACCGCGAGCACTTGAGCTGCTGTTTTTACAGCCCGGGGAAGGTTAAAAGAAATAATAATAATAATGTGAGAGAGGCCCGGCCCCAGTAAACTGCCTGCACCGTGCTATTTGCATTTTTAAGGAAACACTTCTTTGAGACAGCTTGGGTGAAAGGTCATCATTTGCATATAAATGGAAAAGAAAGTGTGCGAGGCTGGAAGTTACGTCTGTATTATTTTCTCAGCGGAGAGCTGCCGTGGCAGAGATTAAGGACACGGCTTGCATTTGGCTTTTACTGAATAGAGAAAGTACCAGCGAGGCCGATTTGGACGCAAAATAATGAGGGAAATGTGCAGAGCAGTGGGGCTGCCGGCTCCCTGCCCCCCTCGCCCGTTTTCACCTAAACTCAGCAAAAGCAGGTCTGTCTCTGCTCTGCTCAGCAAGTCTTCATTTTATTCCCGCTGAATCCCAGTTTAAGGAAAAAGGGAAGAAAAAGAGCAGAACGCCTCATTTACCCCTCCCTCAGCTCTGTTTGCATTTCCTGCCAAATGCTGGCCCGTGGGTGGGGAGCCAGCGCTGCCCGGCACCCTCCCCAAGCTGGGCCTCCAGGCGAGGCAGCCAGGGGTGAGCGGGCACCCCATCTTGGAGGGCCGGGCTGCAGGAGAAGCTGTGGGGGGCAAATGCGGGGTCTGCGTGTGGCTGCCACTGCCTTTTCCCATTCTGGGCTGTCAGACTCTCCCGAGGGCCAGACCACCCCGGAGGCCCCGGGCAGCGCTGGGGAGGCCAGGCCCGGCTGGGGAGAGCCGGCCTCGTCCCGGACCTTTCAGCCGTCCCATCTCCGCTTTCAGGAGCAGCCCTGGGACTCTAAGGTGGAGACCTGCCCCCGGAAGGGCCTGAGGACCCCCGGTCCCAGCTGCAGTCTGTCCTCACGGAGACCGACCCCGGAAGCCAGGTCCCCGTGCCGCATCGCTATGACAGATGTGTTTTGACACAATCTCAAACTCACGGAAACGTCTCGAGTACAGGGCAGAACTGCCTTCTGGGGGCCACCCGAGAGAACATTTGTGGGCATCCCCCCAGAACACCTGTGCTGTCTGTCGAGGGCGGGCATGGGCCCCCAGTGCCCGGCTGCTGCGTCTCCCTGGTCCTCGTCCGTCAGACCATCTGAAGAGGGCTGGTCCGTTTGTCCGCAGAGCTTCAGTTTGGGCTTGTCGGCAGTCCCACGGCCCTCTGTGAGGTATTGGGGGGCACCGGGTGGGAGGCTGTCCTCCCTGGTCCTGACGCCCCAGCTTCTGCCGCTGGGCAAGAGGGTGCCGCCCACGGCCCCTGATGCCGAGAGTCTTTTTCTTTGTGGTCAGTCAGTTTGTGGGGGGACGGAGCTTGGAAACGGTGGAAATACCTCGTTCCTCACTTATTCCTTTTTATGGCTGAGTGGCTGGGCGCGACCTGTTTTACCCACTGGGCAGTGACCGTCGAGTTGGTGCGCCCGCTGCGGCTGCTGACCAGCTGCCGTGCCCCCACCCCGACGCCCCGAAGTGTGCGTTCCCAGGACGGGCACAGGTCACCACAGCAGCCCCCCACCCCGTGTGCGTCACCCCAGGCGGAGCCACAGCGCCACCCGCAGTCGCTGCCCGTCGCCCCCAAGCCCCACCCCTGCGGCTCACCTCTGGGCTCCGTGGGTCGGCCCTTGCCAGGCGGGCGGGGCCCTGTCTCCCGTGTGTTCCGTGCAGGGGCCCGGCTCCTTCGTACCGCTGCCTGCGGTTCAGGGGCATTCTCTTCTCCTTTCGGCCGCCGACGGACCCAGGGTTCCTTCCACGAGGTGGCTGCTGGGAAAAGAGCCGTGTCCCAGGCCCCGTGTGGACGCGTGTTTTCGTTCTCTCTGCTCCTTGACGAGGCTGCAGTCGGGGCCACGTGGCGAGGCTGTTCTTGGTGTTTGGAGGAGCTGCCAGGGGTGTTTTCATTCCCATTGGCAACTTCATATTCTCTTCATATTCCTGCTTCATCACATTCTCTCTGACACTGATTATTGTCTTTAAAAACTGTAGCCACCTTTTGCCCAGGCTGGTGTGGCTCAGTGGATCCAGCAGGGCCTGGGAACCAAAGGGTCACTGGTTCGATTCCCAGTCGGGGCACATGCCTGGGTTGTGGGTCAGGTCCCCAGTAGGGGGCTCATTAGAGGCAGCCACACACTGATGTTTCTTTCCCTCTCTTTCTCCCTCCCTTCTCCTCTCTAAAAATAAATCTTTTAAAAAGAGAAAAATATTATAGCCACTGTAGTGAGATTGTGGCTTTGATTTGTGTGTCCCCCAAGGGCTGTGTGCCGAGCACATTTGCACGTGTGCCGTGGCGTTGGCGTGTTGTCTCGGGGTGAGTGTCTGCTCGCCTCTCTGCTCGCATGGAAATCGGGCTGCATGGTCCCGGGGCTCAAGGCGCCCTGCACGCGTTCTGAGCACCGGTCGGTCCCCCGTCAGATACACGACTTACCAAGTTCCCCCAGTGCACAGCTGTCTGCTCACCTGACTGGTGGTGGGCGATGCACAGAAGCCCTGAACTCCGACGCCTCCCGTCCATGCATTTCCTTCTTCCAACCTGTGCTTTTTAGCATCCAGTCTCAGACGCCACCGCCCGAGCCAGAGGCAGGGAGGTCCCTGTGTTTTCTGTGACTTCCAGCCCTGACGCCGGAGGAATCTGAGACCCTCTGTGAGCTGACTTTCGAGTCTGGGGTCAGCCCGTGCGACTTCGCAGTTTGGCCTCCGAGCGGGGCTCCTGGGGGGGCTTCGTGTGTGGCCTCGGTGCCTCGGGCGGGGGTCTGGTCTGCGGGGCGGCTGGCCCACAGGCAGGTCCCGGGGACCCAGAGGGCCCCTGGTTGTTCTGTCTCCCAGCAGTGCCCATGGTCCGCTGCCAGCAAGTGCCCCGGGGGGAGGGAGGGCTCGCAGGGCAGAGTTCATTCGTGTGTGCGGGGTGGTCTCGGGTGTGGCCCCGTCACTCCTCACTGCTCGTCCCTGGGTCCTGACCTCCAGGTGCCGATGTCCTGCCTGACCGACTGCTGTGCCCAGAGGGTGCAGGAGCGGCCTCGGAGGGGACGGGTGGAGCAGATGCCCAGGCCCGGCCCCGGCCTGAGCAGGAGGGGCCAGGGCTTCCCTTGCAGCCCCCAGGGCAGGTGGCAGTGGCAGCCCCTGGTCTCCCACCAAACAGAAAACCGGTGGCCCCACCCCCACACTTGCTCTGCTCACCCCCACTGGGCGGCTGCAGGAAGCAGGAGGGACCTCGAGGGGGTCGACAGGGCCGGGGCACCTGCTGGGGCACCCAGTGTGGGGGGACCATCCTGCTGGCACCCCTGTCCTTATGCCCTCCCTCCTGCTGTCCCTGACACACACCTGTCACCTCACTAACTTACCCATGTCCTCGTGACAAGTAATCCCCTGTGAGTCTCGTGAATCAGCCCGGTGGACAGGTCTCTGTGCTGCCTGCCTTCCCAGACCCGGTGTGGGGAAAGGGCCCCAGGGGCCTTGCTTTGGGTCTCCCACCTGTGTCCTCAGGTAGGAGACTCATCCTGTGGCTGATTGGCTGAGCCTGAGGGTCCGTTTTCCCTCCCACGCTGCTTCCACCTGTGAACTCAGGGCCTGTGTGACTCCCAAATACTGTCCCCACAGGCCTGTCATGGTTTAGAAATCTGAATCCCTGCGTGCCGATGACGCTGAGGACCCAGGAGCTGGACAGTCACCCTGCCGCACAGCTCCCGTCTCCGGTCCAGGCCGACCTTCACAGGGGCCCCTGCAGGGGACCTGTGGCTCAGTGGGGGGGACACATAGTAGGCACCCAGCTGGCCCTTTGGAGACCTTGCATTAGGTGTCCCCTCGACAACCAGGCTGCTGCTCTCTGGGTCCTGCTCCCGAAGGTCCCAGGAGGCCCTTCAGTTGCAGAGTCACTTCCAGCCATGAGGACACCGGCCAGGAGCCACAGGGATGCCTGGGGCAGGAGAGGTGGAATTCTAGAAAAACTGTGTTTGGGGGGCCCGTCCAGCAGGAGGGGCACGGCGGGCGGCCTGACCTTCCAAATCCAAACCCCCCTTCGAGGAGAGGCAGAGAGCAGCCACAGGAATTTTTATTTCCTGTTTTTATTGTTGGTTACTAATGACCTTGCTTTGAAACACGGCCCTGGAAAACCGGTTGTCATGGAAACAGGGAGTGCCGGGCGGGGGGATAGGTACACAATGCGTTTCTTTGTCAGTCCAGCTGATGCCTCAGCCGCGGCCTGGGAGGAATTAAATGTTCGCTGCCGGCGTTGCAGAAGCCGAGGCCATGCCAGACACCAGGGCAGGGGCAGCACGGGGTCCTCCTCAGGGACTCGCTCCAGCCCCGGCTGGAAACCACCGGGGGGTCCCCTCCCCCAGACCAGGAGCAAAGTTCCTGAGAGCATCTTCTCCTGACCCTCGTGTGTCTTCTGGTAGCTTCCTCACCTCAGCCCTGGCCCACACAGCTCGCACTCACTGTCCCCTCTCTCTGTCCCTCAGAAAATGAGTTCCGGGGCGAGCTGCTGAGCCAGAGGTGGACGTGTGGGGACAAGGCCAGCGGCGGCAGGACCTCGAGGCCCCCGGGCAGGCGCGGCAAGGTGAGGTGCTGGAGGGCTGCCCTGCCCCGGCCCCGGGTCTGGGGCCAGGCCCCCGCCACTGCGGGCCCGGAGCACACACAGGTGGCTTCCTCCCGGGTCCAGAGCAGGCGATGGACAGGTGAGGGCAAAGGCTGTCAGTGGTCTGGTCCCTTTACATTTGAAGGAAGCAGAGTGACTGGCTGGCGCAAACCTGCCACAGGCAGCCCCTCCCGTCATTGGCTAAGTCCCCGCCCCGCGGCCCCCTCCGTGCCTGCAGGCTGGGGACCCCTGCAAACTCGTGGGATGTGTTTGCCTTGCTCACTTCCGTCTGTCCAGGTGGCAGCAGACGGTTTGTGCTGGCGTAAAACTCACTGGTCGGGGGGACCCTGTCCTGGGACCCTGCTTGCACCGGCAGCCCCACCCAGCCTCCCACCCTTCAACTTCCCAGGACGTGCTCTGGGCGGAGCCGGGCCCGGGGCCAGGCGGCCCTCAGACGCAGGCTTAGTGGGCTTCTTCCCGGCGGAGCCCGGACTCTGATGCCCTTTCCCTCAGGCCTGGCCCCCCAGGGGTGACAGCTGGGGTGTGGACGACGGGCGGGAAGGGCTGCGAAGTTCCAGGTCGTGGCATTGTCCGAGGGCCCTTTGCCGTCGTGCTGGCACAGCCCAGCGTCTTTCTTTGGAACTGGGTGACTGGCCCGAGCAGGGTGGGGGGCCTGTCCAGAGCGTCTGGTCAAAAGGAGACGTCAGCGACTCCAGTCCCACCTTTAGGTGAACGTTTGCCACTTTGTTTGTCATGGATTTTCTGCATTAATGTTGACGTTTTAAAGCATCGCATTAAACTGTGATTTAATCTTGGTCCCTCTCACACCTGCACCCGGGTGCGCACCTCACCGGCCCGCCCCTCAGCGGGGCAGAGGTCAGGACCACAGAGGCCGCCGGCAGCCTCAGAGGTGTCTCGGGGCCAGGCCTGCGTGGAGAGCAAGTCGCCCCCGAACAATCAGAATAGCAACGACAAAGATCACCGATCACAGACCATCACAACGTATACAATAACGATGAAAGAGCCTGATATGTTTCGAGAAATGTTTCGTGACGTGGAGTGAGAAAATGCCACAGGGCAGGCAAGTGGTGCCGGCCGGCTTGCCCGACGCAGGGTCGCCAGGAACCTTCGGCTTGTAAAAAGCACAGCATCTGTGAAGCGCCTTGGAAGGAGGTCTGCCTGGACCGGACCCGAGGCCCCGGGCTCCGGACGTGGGGTTGGAAGGTGGCAGTCCCCATGGCTCTGGTGTGATGAGCCCGAGGCGGGGACCTGCCACAGAGCAGCCTGTGCACCACGCCGGAACAGCAGCGGCAGGTTTAACAGGACGCAGTTTTCCTGCTGGGCGGGGCGGGCAGGGCCCCAGCTGCCGTTCTGATGGGGGATGTGCCTGAAAAGGTCGGTCGGTCTCGGGACAGCAGAGAGGCGGCGGCAGTGGCAGGACTGGCCGCAGACAGGAGGTGGGTGAGGCGCGGAGCTCAGGGCTGAGGGGCTGCGGAGCAGAGTGCGGTGTGGGAGGCTCCCGCCGGCCTCTGGGTTCAGCACCAGGTCTGTGGACAGCTCACCGACGGGCCTGCGGGGCCTCTGGAAAGGGTTGGCGGTGCTGTGTTTGCCAGCAGTGCTGGGCGCTGAGAGAGTGTGTGTGTGTTTCTGCTTAAGGAGAAAGGGACTCGGTGTTGATTGTCAGTCCTTAGAGCTCTTCTTGGCCTCGAGGAATGAAGCCCCGGGGCCCCAGGCTGCAGGCTAGTCTGTGGTTGGCTGTATGCAGTGGAAATTCAGCCATGTCTTCCTCCTGCCACTGACCAGGGCTCCTGACCAGGGAGGGAGAGAGGGAGGGAGGGAGGCACCGGCATTGCCTCACTTGATGTGCCCCAACTCCTGCCTCTGGGCAGGGGGTGTATCAAACAGAGGGACTCAGACATGGCTGCTTTACCGGGGTCCCTGTGTAGCTGTGATTTTTAACTGGGGGCTGCAGTGAGCTGGGGTCCCTGCTTAGAGGCATCAGGAGAACCCTTCCCAAGACACGTGTTAACTCATGCTCCGTGGGTGTCCTTCCTGCAGCCCCGAGGGAGTGGGCTCCAAGTGGGGCTCGAGATGGGGTCAGCCACAGCACTGTCCACCCGTGCGAGCAGGCGCATCCCTCGCTGGGCAGTGGGAGAACAGAGCGCGTCCAGACTGTCACCCTGTCCCGGAGAAAGGGGACACTGACAGGTGCTTTGGAGCCAGTAGGGTGGTGACAGCCAGTTCCTGGCCACCTCTTGTGTCCCTCTGTCGTCTTCACCGTAGCTGCCCCTCCCTGCGGGCAGGGTGGCCTGCAGCCCCCTGGGGGTCAGCAACGATCCCCCTTGCTCTCGTCTGCCCCAGGGACCCTGCAATCCAGGTCCTCTCGTGGACTGAACAAGTCATCCCGAGTCCGTTCTCACTCTCCAGCTCTGCGAGCTAGTGGGCGGATTCTGAATAAAACGAACCACTGACCTGTCTCCTCCTGCAGCCCAGGGCCTGGTGAACGCGCCCCTCCCCCGGCCCAGTGCAGGCCCTCAGAGATGTTCCTGGCTGTCCCTGCTCGTCTGTCCAGCCGTCCGTCCTCGGGTCACGTGTGCTGAGCAGTGACCACAGCCCCTTCCTCTGCAGGACACAGCAGCCCTGAAATGAGAACGAATGAGTCTGTTTGGGGTGGGATGGGGGGCCACAAAGGAAAGGAGCGCCCACAGGCCCAGGCGTGGAGCCGAGAGGCGCTGCTGACCGGAGGTGGCCTGAGCGGCTTCTGGTTTTCACCGACCCATGGAGCCCATCTTCCCCACCAAGGCTCCTCTTCAGCTCTCCCCTGACTCCCTTTCCCTGGAGTGAGGGACCCTCAGGTGCTGTGGGTGGTGCTGCTCCGCCGGGGACACGCTGCAAGGCCAGGGTGGCAGGTCGCCTGGGGCCTCCCAGGGCCAGGCCTTAGGGCAGGGATGCAGCATTGGCTGGGGTGCAGGTCACTCCTCGTCCGGGGAGGCTCGGGAAGAGCCCAAAAGAAAGGTGAGAGGGGGAGAGACGGGGGTGGGGGTGAGCGAGGGAGCACGAGAGAGGCAGGGAGGGGCATTCTGCAGAGACCACCCCGGAGTCCCTGAACTTGGGGGGCGAAGCCTGTGGGCCGCGTTGACCGGACTCTCGCACACAGAGCCCCCTGCATGTCCTCGGTGTCGGGTCTGAGTGCTGTCCTCTCTCCTGCAGCCCACCATCCAGGCAGATCCCCAGGTTCGGGGGCTGCTGACCACACACACTTGTTTGGGGCCCGAGTTTGTCAATGTCCAGGCGTTTACAACAGACTGTGAACTCAGGGCAGCCGGTGTGGGCGAGGGCAGCATGCAGACAGGTCTGAAAGGGGCCGATCTCTGGGGCACGTCCGAGAGCACGTCCCCGCACGGAGAAAGAGCGGACGCAGTTTCTCTGGATGGACAGCGCAGGAGGAAGGGCACGGCAGTGGCGGCCCCGGGTGGAACCTGCGTTAGTGGCGGCACCGAGACAAGGTAACGGGAGAGCCAGGAGCCCTGGGATGTCCTGACGGGCTCCCACCCCTGCAGAAGATGGGGCCGGAGTGGCTCGGCTGCAAAAGGGGGTCTGGTCACCGTCAAGGAGGGACGCCGTTCAGTGTTTGCTGCAGGAAAACAGGAACTCGGTGGAGCTGTGCTTGGAACAAGGGAAGGGTTTTTAACAAGAAATGAATGGAAAACTGGGGTGTGTCTTTTTGCCTTTGCGGGGCACAGCTCCCTCAGGGACATGAAGCAGCGATGTCCAGCGCCTGAGGACAGCGGAGAGCCCGCCTCTGAAGCGCCCCGCAGCGTCTGGGGCTCTGGGCAGCCAGAAATGCTGGCATGAAATGGCTCTGAAATCTGCCTCGCTGACGACGTCCCGAGTCTTCGACTCAGAGATTCGCTCACATGAAAGAGCTCACCCTCCTTTCCTCCTGCACGGGGCAGCGCCTTCCCTTTTAGAACCAAAGCTGTACACACCGAAGACAGCTCATGACCACCTGACACAGAGAAACTGCAAATGGAGGAAGCTCGGCCGGGGGCTCGCCGTGTGCCGTCCCCGCCACCCTCTCTGCTCCCGGCTCTGTGCGTGCCGAATCTGCAGGAAGCCCAAATCGCCCGGGCGCTGGAACCTAGTGGGATGCGCGCCAGTTTCCTCACGAAACCCAACGAGAGAAGAGCTGCAGATTGCGTTTCGGTGGCGAGCAGGCCGGCGCCCAGCCATCGGCTGTGTTAGCACCATAGTGAGCCCCCGTGGACGGACGGATGGATGGATGGCATGTTTGCAGGCTCGAGGCTGTAAGGAAGTCCCTCGGACAGCTGCTCCTCTCTCGCTGGTGAGGGGAGCCATGGGCCCACAGGGGTGGCCTCTGTCCAGAACAGAAATGGAGACTCCGCGTCCCGGGCCAACCGCTGCCTGGATGTCACCCTGGGTTTTGGTTTTTCCCCTTTACCAACCACGTGACTCATTTTCAGTGTCAGTGCTGGTGTGGGGACTTGCCCTGCAAGCTTCACCGCACTGTCTGGGGAGTGTCCTTTTCCTCCGGGGCACCTAGATACCCACTTCTTCCCTCTGGTGCCTCACAGTGGCCTGCGGCCAGTGGGGCTGCCTGCTCCTCTTCCTCACCATGGGACAGGTGGCCAGTCCCGCTCTCCCAGGGCCTCCTGGGGTACAGGCTGCTGGGCCCAGGCTTCTCTCCCTTGGAGACGCGGAGCACAGGGAGCCCCCTGCCCACCACCTGCCTCCATCCTCGCCGTCACCTGCCTGCCGCATGTGTCGCGGATGACACAGCTCGAGGATCCCGTGTGACGGCCTGTAGTCCCTCGGCTCCCTTGGGGGACAGTGCAGGCCGCATCCCCCACAGTGGGTCAGGGCAGTGACTGCCGGTGGGGGTCCCTGATGGGAGCACCTCTCACTCTGTCCTGGGAGGAGTGACCGCTGGAGGGTGGCTGCTGGGCCCGGTGACGTGTTGCCCTGTGTCTGTGCCTCACAGCCTGGCTCTCGCCGACACAGCCTCCCACCACGAGAGCCACACCATCTGCCACAGCCTGTGGCCTGTGGCTGGTCAAACCCAGATGTGCTGGGAGCCTAGGACTCAGGCGGGGCTTCCTGGGTTGTCCTGGAACAGCCCTCCCCCCCCTTGTGATTTCACCTGGGTTGCTGTCAAACTGGTACCGTCTGGGACAGACCGGGCTGAGTAAGGCAGCATTAGAACGAGTCTTAGCTGTTCCCTTTCGTGCCATTACCTTGGCTGTGGGAGCGTTTGCAGAGATGTGGGTGATGCCCGCTCTGGGCCCCCCGGGGGGCAGCGGGGCCCTTGCCCACGTTGGGGAGGGTCCCTCAGCTCAGACCACCTCTCCTTGGGCTGTTGGGGGCTGTCCCATGTCCGGACACTTCCTGGAGGCCCATTTGGGTCCTGGACACCTGTTTGTAAAAGGGTGAGCTCACATTAACTCCCACGGGCTCTGGGTCTCAGTGGGGCCTGAGTCTGTGGTGGGTGCCCTGCCCCGGTGCTGCCGAGCAGGGGGTGGGGTGTGAGCCTGGGGGCATGGCGCAGGCTCAGGGGACGGGGTCCCCAGGCTGGCCTGCTGCTCCAGGTCCCCAGCCTCCCCTGCCCTGCCAGTGGCTTCTGGTCCTCCTGTGCCGCAGACGCGCCTGCCCAGCAAAGCTGGAGTGGGACCTCGGCAGGCCGTCCCGGTAGCCTTGTCTTCCAGTTGACATGGCCGTCGTTTCTCCCTGCAGATGAGCTTGGAGAACGAGGACAAGCGAGCACGCACGCGATCCAAGTCCCTTCGAGGTGCGTCCCCCACCCTGCCCCCCACATCCGTCCACAGCACGACTCTGCCTGAGCCCCAGGTGTCCATGTCCCAAAGCTGTAGATGACACTGTTCCCACCCGTGCTCCCCAGGAGCACAGAGCTGCCCAGCAGTGCCCCCACCTGGCCTGCTCGGCCTTCCAGGGCCCTGGGAGCTTCCGGGCGCCTGAGGGCAGCCGTGGGGCCTGGGCCTGGACAAAGCTCGGGTGCTGAGATGAGGAGACAGACCCGCTCCCCAGGGCAGCGGTGTTTGGGTGTGACAGGTGCCAGCCTTCTGTCACTAGCCTCTGTATCCCAGGATGTCTGTCTGGGAGCGGGTGGGGCCTGGAGGCGGCGGGGTTGGACTGGCAGGGCTGAGGAGGCGTGGGGCCCTGCCCCGACAGGCGGGCACGCGCCGAGCTCCTCAGTGTGCCGGCCGCGCAGTGGGGCCCGTGGGGCCCACCCACCACCCTCCCATGCGGCTTTACCTGCTGGATCGGGTTTCCTGCCAGAAACCAACTTGTCTGTGCAATTAGGGAAGAGATACTGGCCTGGCTCGGAGGGCCCAGCGGACCGGGTGGCCTGTGTCAGGGTGGCCTCTGTGTCCCACAGGGTCTTGGCTGGGAGCAGGCAGTGTGCTCACCTAAGAGACTGGCTGGGTCAGGAGAAGGGGGGGCTCTTGTTTGCGGGCTCAGCCGCCACTCTGCTCTCCATGGTGCCCGTTCTGCTCTGACCCACGTGTTTCCTCCCCCCTCTCTCGCCAGCACCCTCGGAGCCCGCAGGAGCTGACCTCAGGTAAGAGAGACCCCTGGCTAGCAGCAAGCATGGTTGTGTCTGTGGCCCCCTCTCAAGCAACCCCACCCTGGGGCCCCCTTTCCCTAACGAGGCCCCACCCTCTTTGCCACCTGTCAGCTGTCGTCACCTGCCTCCGTCCCAGCCACACCTCGCATCCCACCTCCCGGCAGGGGCAGGGGCATGTGCACACCTGGCCACGAAGCAGCACCTGCTGCCACCGGGGCCCCCACCAGCACAAAGGGCCATCTTCGTGGGCTGTCACGGAGGCCACTGTATTGGACGGCCTGAGGCCACCTTTGGCCAGAGGTGGAGCAGGCTGTTCCCAGTCTGGAGCCTTCCGTTCTGTGTGTTGGTGCCGGTGCTGGGATTGTGAGCACAGGCCCTGTATGTCACCTCCCCCCGTTGTCCCTTTGCCAGCTCAAGCAGAGCCCATGGCCTGGGGATAGTGCAGGGGTTGTGACAAGGAGAGCAGAGACAAGCGGGCCCTCAGCTCCTCCTGCCCCCAGAGGGCACGGGTCTGGTGGGTGTTCCCTTCGTGCGGAGGAGAGGTGACAGACACTCTCCTGGCGTCTTTGCCTGGGCCCATCTGCTGCTACAATGCACTGCGTGTGCTCAGGCCCCTCAGGCAGGTCACTGGGACCCGCCCGGCACTGACTGCACTGGGCTGCCCACGGGCCCGCCCCTGGGGCTGCTGCGGGGAGCGGCTCTGTCCCTTCTCTCGCCCGAGGGGCCCTCATCGGCCCTGCACACAGGCTCACAGTCTGGGCCGGAGGCCAGGCCTCTTCTGGACGGGTGGGTGGAGGTGGGCTTCGGAGCAGGTGACATGCTGGGGGCCATGCCAGGGCCCCACAGACCTCCCCAGCAGCTGTCACCTAATTGCCTGATTAACTCAGTGATTAATCGACTAATTGGGACCTCAGCTTCAAATCCCCCATAACAAGGAGCTTTTGTGGAAAGTCTCAAAGCTAGTTCTGGGGAGAGTGAAGCAAGTGGGGCATAGACTGGGACAGACAGGCCGGGGACAGCGGCCACCGCTCTGTGCCTGCAAAGGAGGTCCCAGTGGAAAGGGGCCCGTCTCCCTCCCTCCCCCTCCCCTTCCAGCTCTTATTAAAACAATGGGACTGACACTGACATCAGCCGAGAGGCCCCTGAGCCTGAGCGTGGAGGCCGGAGGCCACCGTTGAGCTCGGGGCTTTGCTTCCACGCACCGTCCCTCTTCTCCCTGACCGGCCGGCAGGTGTGGCTTCTGGCCCACGGGGACCACCGCTGCCTGCACTGGCCGCTCCACCCGTCAGCGGGGTGTCTGAACAGAGGTCGGGGTGGTGCGCTCGCCTGGGTCCCTGGGGCCTGTCTCTGTCGGTGGTCCAGAACACTCTGTCCTTCACAGGCTCTGGGAAAGTCTGGTCCAAGGCGGGAGCTCAGACCCCGGGGTGCTGCTCCTGTGGAAATCAAGGTCTTCCCACCTTGGGCAGGGGCACCTTGGGCACCTCCCCAAGAGGAGCTCAGGCTTCCCTCCTTTCGGTGGCCTCCCTTGGGTCCCCCATCCTACTGGGCCTCAGTTTGCTGCTCCATAAAATGCCGTGATGACACCTCTTTGTGGGTCTTGGTCTGGGGATGTGTCCAGCAACCCGCAGGTGCTTCCCCCTCTGCCCACCCAGGCCCCTCGCTGCCCCGGGGCGCTGGCCCCTGGGGAAGGGGTCTGGGTGGCATGGTCCGCGTCCATGAGCAGAAGTTTCTGGAGCTTTCCCCAGTTTGGTCCTGTGGGGAGACAGATTGGTGAAGGGTGAGGAACCCCTGGGGTCTTGCCCCCCCCACATTCGCCCTGTCCACCCAGCCATGAGGCGGCCGGGACTGGGGGGTGCGGTGAGAGGCCCAGCCCACCCCCGATGAGGCCTCATGGCAGCTCTGGGTCGCTGGCCCCCCTGGCTTCCCCCACCAGGCTTGTCCCCAGGCCCCCCCCCCCACCTTCCCCTCGCCGGCGCCGCTCCCCTGGTGAGGGCCCCAGAGACCTCGGCCTCAGCGCTGCAGATGGCAATGGCGGGGGGCAGCCGCCCTGGGCCAGCCTCAGGCAGGGGTCCTGGGGTGCCTCGGGGGTCTGTCTCCCGGGGGCTGTTCCCTGCTGTGGGAAAAGGAAGCTTCCAAGGGAGGCCCCCGCTGGAAGGCGCAGCTCTCGCCCCCAGGTCCTCACAGCGAACGCACTCGTGAGACTGCCGCGAGCTGGTCACTTATTTATGGAGAGTCCTCGAGTTAATCTCAGCTGACTGCAGGCAGCCGTGCCGACAGCCGCAGTTTGGAGACAGCACGGAGGGTCTGGGTGGGGCCCCTCCCCCCAGTGACCGCTCTGCTTGTCTCCCCAGCTGCCCCACCCCGGGGTGCACAGGCACGGGCCATATTCGAGGCAAATACTCCAGGCACCGGAGGTAAGGAGGCCTGGGGCCCTCACCACGGGTCCTGGGAGGGAGGGTGGCTGCTGGGTGTTGGAGCCCATCTCTCACTCTGGGCCTTTTTGTGGGTCTAGAACCTTCCGTGTGTGCACACTGATGCAGCGTGTCCCCCTCAACTCATTGCTGAGGGCCTCCAGGGCCAAGGGCGTGGCTGTGGTGTGGGTGCCGGGGCTGCTGTGAGGCAGCAGGAGTCTGTGCAGGAGCAGTTCCGGGGTTCACTGGGGTGACGCGCATCATCCCGGGATGCACTTGACCTCAGGGCCCCCCTGCTGCCCCCAGTCCGGAGGGTGGATGAGGGTGTGAAGAGTCTGCAGGTGGACAGGGATGGACCGGGGTCCCTAGGACCTGCCAGGTGGGCGTGGAGCAGAGCAGTGGGCGCCAGTCCCCATCCTCGGGGGTCTTCTGAGAGAAGCCAGAAATGCACCTGAAAACACAATCAGGACAATTTGAGTGGAGTCCGAAAGCCAGTGTGTCAGGGCTGCTGGTGGGGGGACGGCGAGGAGATGCCTTGAGGAGCAGGGGGAAAGGGCGGGAGGAGCCGGGGGTACTGATGGGGGCCCGGGCCCCTCCCTCCAGTTTGCAGAGCTGCCCTCTGGCCAAGAAGAGGAAGCTGGAGGGCGCTGAGGCGCAGCACCTGGTGTCCAAACGGAAGTCGCACCCCCTGAAACTGGCTCTGGATGAGGGCTACGGCGTGGACAGCGACGGCAGTGAGGACGCCGAGGTGAAGGAGGCCTCTGTTTCCGATGAATCGGAAGGAACCCTGGAGGAGGACGAGGCCGGGACGCCGGGACAGGAGGAGATTCATCGCCCCGAGCCAGCTGAAGGTGCTTTGTTGCTTTCTCTGCCCCGAATAAAGGGCGCTCAGTGTGTCCCTGGAGAGCCGCAGCCCAGGAGCCGGGAGGGCCTCCTGCCAAGGAAGCCCACCCTGAGAACAAGTGATGTCCTGTCCCGACAGTGGCTTCCTGAGGAGGGGCTGGGGGGTGTCTGTGCACGTGAAAGATGGACACATGGACATGGCTGTGTGTCCGGCCCTTGGGAAGAGCTGCCCAGGGTGGGGTGGGCATCCGTTGGGCATCGGGCAGGACCAAGGGGGACGAGGTGGACCCCTGCTTGTACCGGCTTCCCTGTGGGGCACCCAGCCCTTGCAAATGCTGGTTCGAAGGCCCGAGGTCCAGACCCCAAACACCCCCGAGCTTCCGGTGTCTTCTGACCCTGCGGGGCCCGAGGTGGGTCTTCGCTCTATTTTGGAGCTGATCCCAGCAGCTCCCGCATGTGCCTCCCCCCAGGGCTCTGGCCGGGCCTCCTGGGTCACTTGCTCGCCCGCTTCCTCACAAAGCAGGGAGTCTGGGGCCAGCTGCCACTGCCCGGAGCGCGGCTGCAGGGTGCCCCGTGCCCCTGAGCCCCCTGGGCCCGCACAGGCCGGGTGTGTTGGGAGTGCCGTGTGTCTTGGCCATTACCACCTGTAAACTTAGGTCCTTCAAAAAATACACATTTGTTCAGTGCTTTTTGATTTTGAAACAACTTTTATTTTTATTTTTTAAAAGATTTTATTTATTTATTTCTAGAGAGGGGAAGAGAGGGAGAAAGAGAAGGAAAGAAACATCAATGTGTGGTTGCCTCTCACATGCCCCCTACTGGGGACCTGTGCCCTGACTAGGAATCGAACCTGCAACCCTTTGGTTCACAGGCCAGTGCTCAATCCACTGAGCTACACCAGGCAGGGCTGAAACAATTTTTAAAGAGTCAAGCTCCGTTTTGAGAAATGACTTGAGAAAGTACTACAGTGCCTTTAGAAATGCAGCACCAGGGACCCATCTGCCCCCAAATCGACTCCCCGGGGTCTCGGTCCAGACAGAGGCGGTGACGCCAGGACCCTGCTGAGCCCCATTTCTGGGGGTTCCGTGTTTTGGGCTGTGGCAGGAGGTGGGGACCAGAGGCCCGGACACCCGCCCTCCCTGTGCCCCCGCCACCAGGGCTTTTCTGATCTCGTGCAGGAAGGAGCCCTACCAAGTCCCACTTTGGACCCCACCCCGTCGGCAGCCCCACGGGCCCCTCCAAAGGCAGCTACGGCAGCTACCAGGAAATCATCGCAACTTCTCTCCTGAACTTGGGCCAAGTCGCTGGGGAGACTCTGGTTCGGGAGGGCTCGGGCCAAGGAGCCCAGCTGGGCCCCGGAGCTGTGCGCCTGGTCCAGGAGGAAGCCGAAGAAGAGGCCACCAGTGACGAAGGGGAAAGGGCCGTCTTCATCCCGCCTGAGGCTGCAGAGGAAGTCATCGAGGTCACCAGCGAGCGCTGCCAGGAGCTGAGTCCCCAGGCCCTGGAGGGTATGACCAGTGAGGAGCCCAGCCCGCAGAAAGGCCCCCTGGGTCATGAGGAGGAGGAGGAGGAGGAGGAGGAAGATGAGGAGGAGGAGGACGATGAAGAGGAAGAGGAGGAGGTGGCCATGCCGGATGAGGCCTGCCAGGAGGCTGCCCCCCTGCAGGCCCCCAAGCTCCCCAGCCCCCAGCTGGACGACTCGGTGGTGGCGGAGCTGCGCTCCGAGGACAGCAAGGACGAGGACACGCGCTCCCAGAAGTCCGCGGTCACGGACGAGTCGGAGATGTACGACGTGATGACTCGCGGCAACCTGGGCCTCCTGGAGCAGGCCATCGCCCTGAAGGCAGAGCAGGTGCGCGCCGTGTGCGGGCCCTCGGAGCAGGGCCTGGGCGAGCCCCTGAAGGCGGCCAGGCCCCTGGACGCCGCGCGCAAGACTTACAGCAGCAAAGGTAGGGCTGGTGCGGTGTGCACACCCGCAGACCTCCCGAGGCCCCCGGGGCTGGGGGTGGGGGTGGACGCAACCAGGGACAAAGGTGCACATGACCCAGAGCAAGGTCTTGGTCTCCGTGGCTCGGCTGCCACCTGGGGACTGACCAGGCTGTGGCGGGACTCCAGTCAGCTACAGCTCGGGGGACCTCCTGGCTTGTGGAGACACTGGACCACATTTTCTGGGAACACTCACTTGTGTGGTTTCGGCTCAGTGGCAGATATTCAGAGACACAGCTGAGGGGACAGAGATGGGGACATTATTTCAACCTGAGGATACTTGTTGAGGGGAGACCCTGTCAGGGGGGGTGCAGATCTCAGGGACAGCACAGGGTCATGGGCACAAGGAGGTCCGTGTGCAGGGGACAGAGACTTGGGGTAGTGTAGGGTTTCTGTCTGGGGGCGGGCAGGGGTCCCACAGAGCAGTGGGACATGGCAGGAGAGGGGCACGTTGGGGGGGACACAGACAGAGTGACAGCCCCAGGCCCTGGAGTTCAGGGCCCGTTCCTGTGGGACAGACACCAGGGGTCCCAGATGCTGTGTCCTGCTTTCGGGATGAGTTGAGGGCGTGGACCAAGGGGCAGAGGCAGGGGACCAAGCCATGGGCTGGGGGCAACAGGCCATGGGACGCAGGACGTCTGGGGCAGGGGCCGAGGTGCCAACCCAGGGCATCTGCACAGAGGCTGGCTCACCAGGAAGCCGGTGTCGGGAGGGGTTGGCCAGCCCGCCTGCCCTTCCAGCGTGGCCCTGTGGCCTCCTGGTGCCCCCAGAGGGGCAGCTCCACCCAGACGCGTCTCCGGGCAAAGGCCCTGCTCCGGAGACCGTCCGCATCCTGACAGGCGCCCTCCAGGCCCCACCTGTTCTAGGGACCTCTCCAGGCTCATGCAGGCTGGAGGAGGTCAGTAACTGAGGTGTGAGCTTAAAGTTCCGCCCTGGCATTTTTGAGCTCTGTCTGCTCATTATGTCAAATCCAAAGGACGTGTCCTGGCAGGGACCTCGTCCCGTTACCTTCGCCTCTCTACGCAGAGACCGGACCTTGAGGCATGGGGGCTCCGAGCAGGGGGCCCTGGCTCTGAGGCCAGTGAAGAGGGGGACGGGCGCCGGCTGCCCTCTGGGTCCTTCACACCTCTGTGCATCCTGCCCGCTGTTCGGGGCAGTTTGGTGAGCCCCGGGCAGACTGCTGGAGTTCCCTTGACCTCCAGCCCCGGCCCCGCTTCCCTCCAGAGAGGCAGAGAGAGGCCCAGCGGTCCTGCCCACACTGCTTGTGTGCCACATGGCTTCCTGGCCACCTCTGACGGGTGTGTCGTGTCTGTTCAGATGCCTCCAGAGCAGAGAAGCGCGAGATCAAGTGTCCGACGCCAGGCTGTGACGGCACGGGGCACGTGACCGGCCTGTACCCTCACCACCGCAGCCTGTCCGGGTGCCCCCACAAGGACAGGATCCCTCCGGAGAGTGAGTACCTGTTTGGATGGTGGTCCCTCGGGGCCCTGTTTCTTTGGTTGGCACTGTCCCGATGCCCAAACTCGAGCCCTGTAGGGCTGGGGACACAGAGGGTGTCCAGCCATCCACCTTGAGTTGTCAGCTTGGGCCAGTGCCCCCAGAAGGCGGCCAGGGGCACCGGCGCCCTGAGGGGAGACAGGCTGCCAGCAGGGGCTGCCTCTGCTCTGAAGGCTCACAGGAAGCCCATCCTGACTTCTGGGCTGGAGGCAGCAACTGTGAACTTGAGGTTGACAGGGACCAGTCAGGGCAGCTGGAGGTGGTGAAGCTGAGTTGGTTTCAGCCCCAGGAGGCAGAGTCCATGGGGGGTTGGAGGTGGTATGGGGACTGGGCTAAGGACGGCACTGGAAGCTGCTGTGAACCTGTCCGAGGAAGCTGCAGGCTCCAGACCGGCTGTGTCCACCTCCCCCCCGCCCCGCTTTTCTTTCAGTCTTGGCCATGCACGAGAACGTGCTCAAGTGCCCCACCCCCGGCTGCACGGGCCAGGGCCACGTGAACAGCAACCGGAACACACACAGAAGGTACTCGCGGAGCCGAGTGGGGGTGGAGGGAGGCGCGCCGGGCCTGCTGTGGCCCCTCAGGATTGGTGCAAAGGCAGAGCAGCCCTGTGTGTTGCTGGCTTAGAGTTGCCCCGAGCCAACCACTCGAGCGGCTGGTGCTCTGAGAGCTGGAGCCTGGAGCAAAGGAGAGAACCCAGTTCTGGAGGCACGGTGGCTCCCTGGGCCCCTGTGGGCACCTGCCCGTGTCCCTGGCTCAACAGGCAGGGCCGAGTGGAGAGGGCTCAGCTGTCCCCATGTCCTTCTCTAGTTTGTCCGGGTGTCCCATTGCTGCTGCCGAAAAATTAGCCAAATCTCACGAGAAGCAACAGCCCCAGACGGGAGATCCCTCCAAGAGTGGCTCCAACTCAGATCGTATCCTCAGGTGGGTGCTGGGGTGGCTGCCTCCCGGCTATACATTCCTCGGGCAGCCCGGGCCTCCCAGGGCAGGGCTGGAGCACACAGGACAGTCCCCAGTCCGCTGCAGAGGCAGGCGGGGGACCCCCATCCTCCTTCTGTCCCTTCTGTCTGAGCTGATGGGAGCAGAAGCCCCCCCACGCCCATCCCAGCCCCAGTCTCCTCCTGGGCACCCTCCCCAGGCCTGGGGCTCACACTGCCTCTGTGCATTGAAACATCTGAACTCTTCCAAGAGCCTCAGTGACGGTGAACGAAGCGCCAGCAGCGGTCTTCTCCTGCCGGTCCTGGACCCTGCCATGGCTGCTGCCCACGGAGAGTTTAGTCTTGGTTCCCAGGAATGTGCCCCAAATCGCCCCGCTGCCCCCCACCAGGCAAGGCAGCTGAGCTGTTAGAAACCTGCTCTCCTGCGCTGCGGGGGCGAAGTCCAGCCTTCCCTCCCTGGGCTGTGCAGGGGACGTGCCCTTCTTCCTCCCAGGCCCCCGTCAGTGACGGGGCCTGGGGGAGGGTCTCCCAGGTGTCTGTCCTCGTGGGGCTCCGAGGGGCCCCCATGCCGGCTGTGGGGGGAGGCGATGGGTCCTGTCCTCACGGTTCTGCGTCTGCCCCACACCCCAGACCCATGTGCTTCGTGAAGCAGCTCGAGGTCCCTCCATACGGAAGCTACCGGCCCAGCGTGGGTCCTGCCACACCCAGGGCCAACCTGGCCAAGGAGCTGGAGAAGTTCTCCAAGGTCACCTTTGACTACGCAAGTTTTGATGCTCAGGTTTTTGGCAAACGCATGCTTGCCCCAAAGATTCAGACCAGCGAAACCTCACCTAAAGCCTTTAAATGTAAGTTGGGGGTGTTGCTCCTGGGAGGTGTGAGGTGAGGACCAGTGGAGGGGACCCCAGCCATCCGTCCTGGGGACCGAGGGGACAGAACCAGGCCCTTGCTGTCCCAGTAACCACCCCTCCTATTCCCCTTCGTACTCCACGTGTCCCCCTGCCATCTGGGAAACAAAGCCAGGTCCTGTGTGGTGTGTGTGTCTAACGATAAAGAACAACTTGGCTGGCATGGTGTGCCCCGGGAAAACTTCCTCCCCGGCACCTTCCCCCAGCCCGTGTGATCGGACACAGCTACCCTGCGGCCAGGGCGTGTGCACACAGAGCTGTGTGTGGCTGGGCCGTGTGAGCCTGGTGCCCTGACAAGAGCCATTTTCCTTCCCGCATGGGGGCCATCTTGCTGGATACAATGTGTTATTTGTGATACTAGATACAAATTTTCTGGGTGACCATACTAACAAAAATGAGCACTGGGGAGCGATCCTTCTGGGTTTTTTTTTTTTTTGTCACTTATTACACTGATTTGTGGGTTGCCAGCCCTGGGAATGCACATGAAATGGAGAAGCACTCTCCACCCACCGGTGATTGCAACAGGCATCTTCTGCGGGAAACCGGAGTTTCCTGCATGCTAGTAACAAAAGTAGCGACTGATACAATTTGATACTATTGCCTGGAACCTGCCTTCTCGCCCGGCCTCCCACTCACACCTGCCCCTTCTGAGCTCCTGGGAGGTTGCTGGGGTGTCGCAGGACTTTCATACCTGAGAGTGATTTTACGGCTGCTGCACAATGACCAGAACAGATAACACTTTACACCTTGTGTGTATTTGAGCAATAATGTTACTTTGTTAAAGCAGGGACATCAACTTTTTAGATGTTTGATCCAATTCTCACGCTTGGATGACATTCCACAGGATTCTTTGGTCTTTCCAAAACCGATGTACAACCTGTTTTTGTTTGAAATATCAGGGATGCTGGAATGTCTCTGGAGGGTTTTGCTCTTTCTGTACAGGCTTTGGTCAGGCCAGAAATAGCCTCCTCAGTCCCAAACAGGGGAGCAAAGGGGTGGGGTGGCAGGTGTGAGCCCAAGCCCCCCCCTGCAGCCAGGCCCCGTGCACCTAGCTGCCCCCAAGCCCCCGTGTGTCTGCGGACGCCTGCCCTGGTTCCCTTCTTGCAGACACACCTTTCCCACGGGCCTCTCCCCTCAGGCACAGCTCCCGCCCCCCATCCTCTTCCACAGGCTTCGACTACGCACACGACGCCGAGGCCGCACACATGGCCGCCACCGCCATCCTGAACCTCTCCACGCGCTGCTGGGAGATGCCTGAGAACCTCAGCACGAAGCCGCAGGACGTGCCCAGCAAGGTCGGTGTGTCCCTGCAGGGCCCTGCTGGGCAGGGTGGCCGGGGAGTTAACAGTCTGGGCCGCACTGCGTCTCCGTGGGGAGGGCCATCCTCCCCTTTTCTCTCCCACCTTGGCCCTTGACAACCAGAGAGCTTGGATGGGCACCTTCCGAGTGCTACGTGCTGGGCTTAAGAGGGCCCACAGGGCTGTGCACACGCGTGTCTCCCCGTGTCTGAGGGTCGTGCCCATGTTCTCGTCTGACCCAGCTCCTGCTCTCAAGGGTCTGGCCTGTGGTCCAGGGCATGGGAAGGAGGGAGGCAGCGCCTCCTCCATCCACGCGGGTTTCAGGACTCGCCTCTTGGAGCTGTTCTATCGGGCTCTGCGTCCTCGTGAGGGACGCGTCCAGGGTCTCTGCAAAGCTGTGCCGGGCCCACGGCCCGCTGGCAGGGGTGGGTCCGGATGCAGCTGGCGCCCTTGCGTTGCAGGCCGCGGACATCGAAGTGGACGAGAACGGGACCCTGGACCTGAGCATGCGCAAACACCGCAGGCGGGACGGTGCGCCCCCTGGCGGCGGGAGCGGCAGCCCCGGGGTGAGGTCTCCCGACACCTCCCAGCGCCAGAGCAGCACTGGGGCCCCCAGCAGCTCCATGACCTCACCCCAGTCCAGCCAGGGCTCCCGCCAAGAGGAGTGGGACCGGCCCCTGGACTACACCAAGCCCAGCCGACAGCGAGAGGAGGAGCCTGAGGAGGTGGGTCCCGCAGCCTGAGGGCTGTCCCTTTGTGCCCAGGGCCCTCCACCGTCCACACGGCCAGGACGAAGCCCAAGGGTTTTCCTCGCTGGGTGATGCTGAGTCCTGGTCCCGTCTCGGAGGGGTGGTCTCCTCACCCTGAGGACATGCGAATGGGGCCTCTGAGGGCCTGGGGAAGAGAGGGCTTCTGTCGGGCCCCTCAGGGGATGCCTTGCTCGTGACTCTGAATCCCTGGTGTCGTGGGCCTCCCACCAAACAGGGACACCCCGAACTCTGGCAGCAGCCCTTTCTACGGTCCCCAGGATGTTCAGACCACCTGGCTCCCTAGTTAGAGGCAGGAGGGGACTCCTGGCCTCAGGAGGAGCCCCTAGTGGGCAGTGGCCTGAGTCTCAGAACAAGCACCGCCTCGTAAAGGGCACAGAGCTGATGTCTCTGTAGGGGCTGTGGGCTGGGGGTGGTGGGCGGTGCCTGTCCAGTCCCTCCAGCCACTTGAGAGGGGGGTCGATGGAGAGCTGTCCCCAAGGGGCTCCCCTTCTCCCCGAGCATCCTCGTCTCCTCCCAGGACAGTCACTGTCCTCTGTGGGGTGACCCAGGTCTCGGAGGCCCTGGGGTTCCCACCCACTGCGGCCTGCCCCTCCCTCTCCCTGCAGACACCTCCCACCCTTCGGGAAGAAGCCTCCCCTCCTGTGGCCGCCTCTGCAGGCTTCGGGGCCCCACATCCCAGGCATTGGGGCACTCCTAGCACCTCCTCCTGAGCCCGGCCTCCTGGGTCCTGTACTTGGCTCCGGGCTCCAACTCAGACCCCCTTCCAGCTCTGCCCATCCTGGCAGTCCCCCCAACCCAGGCTCAGGCCACAGACCCTGCTCACCGCCCCATGTCCCTGGGCCCTGCAGAGGTTCTCCTGGTCCAGGAGCCCCATCCGTCCGGAAGAGAGGCTTCGCACAATTTGCTCAGGCTAATGAGTCCACCGTGACAAGGCCTCAAACTGTCTTTTTTCTGGGCCGTGTCTCCAGGTGCCTCCTCCCTGACCCCCACCAGTGCCATGAACAGCTGCCCTCAGCTCCTGCTTCAAGGCGGCTGGGGGCAGAATGCAGAAGTGCAGTGTAGGTGTCTGAGCCGCGTGAACTGCTGTAAACACCTACCTGGGGTGGGCTGCTGTGGGGCATCAGGAAGCCCCTGTCCTGGGGCAGCTCTGGCTGAGGTGGGGGGTGCGTCAGCCCCTCAAGGTGCTGTCTTCTGTGTCTGGGGGGCTGGCAGTCTTCCTCCTCAGTCCGAAGGCAGGAGACGCCAGACACAGCCTGTGTGGACACGGCGCTGAAGGGTCCCTCTCCCTCGCCCCGGGCCAGGCGCCCGGCCCTGCCGGCGGTTAAAACCTCTCCCTGCTGGTTTTTTGCAGTCAGAGCCAGCAGCCCATTCTTTTGCTTCTTCTGAAGCAGATGACCAGGAAGTGTCGGAAGAGAATTTTGAGGAGCGGAAGTACCCTGGGGAAGTCACCCTGACCAACTTTAAGCTGAAGTTTCTCTCCAAGGACATAAAGAAGGAGCTGCTCACGTAAGTGCCCGCCCCGGCCGACAGGGCTCCACCGAGGCCGTGCACAGCCCGGAAGGGGGCGCGGCGGGGCCAGGCCCAGGATGCCAGCCGGCCAGGGCCTTCCGCTGCCCTTGGTGGGCAGAGGGTGGGTGTCTTTCACTGGAACCCACTCCACCAGGCAATGGGGCACAGGCTTGCCCCCCTCTGCACTTTTTGGGGCTCTCACCTGCACCCCCAACATGATAAAGGACGAGGAAGGCCCCGTTCTGACCCACCGCACAGCAGGGCGAGGGCTCTCGGGCCCCGAGGCCGGCCCCGAGGCAGCGTGCCAGGTCTGACGTGCGTGTCTCTGACGGGTTCTGGCAGCCTGGCCGGCCCTGCGAGCCTGTTCTCAAGAGGGCGGACCAGACGTCACACAAGTGCGGAAGCCCTGCGTGGTCAGGGGCCACCCTGCAGCCTTCTGGTCAACTCCACCCAGCTCCCCTCTCTCTGAGGCCTGTGTGCGGCCACACGTGGCGCCTGCCCAGAGGGGCCCAGTCCTCGCCTTGCTCTGTGGGTGCTGGGCACCCTTGTCTTGTCCCGAGTCTCCTGCTCTGGAGCTGGCCCCCAAGGACGGCCAGGTCCCAGCCCTGCGCCTGGCCCTCAGGGAAGGCCGTGGGCTTCAGGAAGGGACTCCCTGCGTGTTCTTGGGCACCCACACGTGTGTATGAAACACACGTGCTCTGGTGGCATTCTCACTTCACACTGAGCTTTGATTGGTTCCTTTCTCCTTCTCGAGTTGAGTTGTGTGGGGAAGTTGCCGCCCGAGGCTGCGGCTGAGCTCTGAGGGACGAGGTCGGGGAGTTGCCCCTCGGCCCGTGGGTGCCCCAGGAGTGGGTGCCGGCGCTGTCCCCACGCAGGCTCGGCCAGGCAGGCCTGGCAGGTAGGCCTCGCTCTCTCTCCTGACACTCTTTTCCTTTGTCCAGCTGTCCCACCCCCGGCTGTGACGGCAGCGGCCACATCACTGGGAACTATGCCTCCCACCGCAGGTTCGTCCCCGCCTGGGCCGGCCGGGCCGGGGGGCCGCGCAGTGGGTCTTCCTCCTCTCCTGCTCCGCCTCCCTCTCTGGCTTACGCCCCTCTCTTCTCTTTCAGCCTCTCTGGTTGCCCTCTTGCTGACAAGAGCCTCAGAAACCTCATGGCTGCCCATTCTGCTGACCTCAAGTATGTCTGCCCTCCTGGCCGCCCGTCTCTTGGGCGGCTCCCTGGCTTTGCTGTCCCCTCCTTCTGCCGGGCTCCAGCCCAATCAGCCTTCCACAGGGCTCCAGCCACCAGCCGGCCCCGCCTGCGGGTGGGGTGCAGAGGCAAGGCTGTGGAAGGGCTGATTTCTGCTTGGCTGGGGCGCCGCTGCTTGTCTCCCTGCTCCGAGTGCTGCTGTCTCTCTCTCTCTGCCTGCGCCCATCCACTGGGGCTGCCGCAGGCTCCTGTGCTGCCCTGCGCCCTGCCAGCTCCTTGGGGGACGGGGGCCACAGGCACTGCCTCCGGCCCCTGGTGGCCCTCCCCTTCGCTCCTGTTCCGGGGGCCCTGCTCCCCCCCTACACTTGGGGTTGGAGAGCCCTGAACTGGCCGTGCCTGGTGCGTCTCTCTCACAGCTTGTGCTCCATGAGGTAGATGCTGCCCATAAGGGAGGAAGCTCTTGCTTCTCCCTTCTTGGCCACCCCTCTGGCGCCTGTGCCTTGGCCCCTGATCCCCCAGGTGTGCCTTGCCACCTCCTCCTGGTTCATCCCTTCCCTCTGTCTAGCCCTCCCCATTCTGCTGCTGCCCCTCCCTGCCCCTGGCAGCAGGCTGGCAGGACAGGGCCGGCCCGGGGCACAGCACCCGCTTGACAGTCCTGCTGGAATGAGAGGCGCCGCCCCGAGGCTTCCCAGGCAGCGGTGTCCTCTGGGGGCAGGAGTCCGGACGATCCCTGCTTTGGTTTTCATGCCTTTGGCTGAGCTGGGCCCCGCTGGGCCCAGGCTCCCAGGCTCAGCCAGGCTGGGGACAGAGGCCCCACTTGGGCCCTCAGGCCCCCATCTCCTGGGCTGCTCCGCACCCCTCAGGGCTCTGCGCTGGGAGGCCCCGAATCCAGACAAGTTTCGTGGAGCCTCTGAGGGGACCCGAGCTGACTCAGAGGCAGGGCGGGAAGCTCTGGGGGGCACCCCTGCCCTAGCAGCTGGGGGAAGCGGCTCTGCACCCATCGTGGCCGGGGGGCCCCTGCTCCTGCACCTGGGCCAGGCGGGGGCAGCCCCAGATGGTCTTTCTAGGGGTCACATCCATGAAACGGGTTCTTGGAAGCTCTACCCATCTGGACTGGTCCCCGTGTCCAGCCCAGAAAACCAGCTCAAACACTTGGCCCTGATGGGACCCTCTGCCTCCCTTCTTCCACCGTCCCCACACTCCTTTCTCCTGTTTTCTTTCCAACTCTGCCGTCATGTCTACCTGTGGCTAGTGTTCACGGATTCCCAGGCTGAGGTCCTGAGTGATTTCAGAGCTGTGGGGACAAGCACAGGAGCCCCGCACTGCGGGGCAGAAAATGGCTGGAAATGCAGTTGTCTGGGAGGATCTGCTTCCTCCCAAGACTGACAGTTTGTGAAGAAATTTAACCCCAAACGTACTTAGAAATAGCAACAAAAAGTCTTCCCCATGTGAACGCCAGTGGCTGCTCAGCCCCAGGGAGGTGCCTCCAAGTCCTGGCCTCGCTCAGGCCCAGTGTGGGCTTGGGGTGAGGGGGCAGGGCCCAGCGCTTCCCGGGTGCCCAACGGTCCTGTCGTGCCCGTCCTCCTGTGCCGTGGGTGTAGGCGTGGCCCGCTCCTGACCAGCCCCGTAGCGGTGCTGGTGGCCCGTCCACAGGGGCAGACACCCGTGCCGCCGTCTGGCAAGCGAAGCTCTTTTTGTGGCCTCCCATTGCTACCTGGGTGCAGCAGCCATCTCTGTGATGGGGTCTCTGGGTTTTAGTTAAACCTCAAGGGTGCTTGCTGCCTGGTGTGGTCAGGGGCTGGGACACGTTTCTGGGAAAAGCCGCCGAGCCCGGTGTCAGTGAGGGGGCGGGGCAGCCCCACCTGCCTGGGCTGGTGTGCCTCAGTGGGACCCCTGGGGGTGCTGCCCTGCCTGTGCTGGGGTCTGGCAGGGACCACCCATGTGTGTGTTCTCTAGGAGTCACCCTCTCTGCCCCAGACTCGGGCCCCATTGGGGACCGCACATCCCAGGGCCGTTATCTGCTGCCCAGGGCTGCACTTGGGCCTCAGGGCCCAGAGCACCAGCCGCCCACCAGAGCTGGGCCCCTGAGCTCTGTCCCTTGGTCACTGAAGCTGAGAGGAAGCAGAGCCCCAGTGGCCACCTGAGCAGCTGCAACCCCCAAGAAGAAGGGCCTTCCTCACTCCGCTCTGCACCCGGCAGGCCACCCTCACTTGAGGGGGAGCAGCGAGGCGCCACAGGGCAGTGGCCTCAGCAGACGGCCACGGGAGGGACACCCCAATGTGCCCGAGTGGCTGGTGCCTGGCGCCTCAGACAGTGGAGACATGCAGCGTCAGAGCACCCAGCCCAGTGGTGGAGCTGGGTCGTGGTTTCCATGAACATGCAGAGACCTCCTGCCCCAGATGGGTGTGGGTTGAAATGTGACCCCATGTGGTGGGGTCAGGAGCCATTATAACCCCAGTGGGTTTGAGTTAGCCCAAAACCTGGCCAGAAGGTGGTTGGATCTGTAGGTCAGCTGCCCCACCAGGGAGGCGCTGCCCCCGGGGGCAGCAAGGAGGGAGGGCCTGGGACTTTCTGAAGACGGAGATGGGTGAGGAGAGGCCAGAGGAGGCCTCTCCGTGAGAGTACCCGATGCTCCGCGCCAGCCTGGAGGTTTCTTGTGCGGATGGGCGGTTCTGGCCTGCTGGTCCCCGGACTGCCCCGATGCCAGCTGCCGTGTGTGCCAGTGCAGGGGCCCCTGAGGCAGGGCCCCAGGTCCCTCGGCTGACACCCTCTGTGCTGTCACTGGGCAGGCTCATGTCCTGACTCTCCTGGGGCCTCTCTGGGCCCCCATTGTTCCCGAGTGTGAGGGTGCACCAGACACAGCACCATGTCCTGCCCAGTCCCCAGGGTCCAGGCCACACCCTCACGAGAGATGAGGCACGACGCACAGGCTGGCTGAAGCCTGGGGGGGCACCGCTGTTTTCCCAGGGGACAGGCAGGGAAGAGCAGTGCAGAAAGCCCACGCTCGTCCGTGACAGCGGGGCTCCCACCTTCTGCGGGACAGGCTCGTCACACGTCTGTTGGGCGCCGGGGGCTTTGTGTGTGGTGCTTGCCCTTCATACTCTGCCGGCACCTGCCACCCCTCACTGAGTGAGAACAGGTCCCGGGTGACCAGGCTGTGGAAGGTGTGTCACAGTGTTCCGTGACCATGCTCATGTGTACACTCATGTGCTCATGCCACACACATGACATGAAGGTGTCATGTACGCGACACCACGTGACGCCCGGAAGACGGATAGTCTCGGGCGTCAGGTCTGCCTCCCTGGCTACTCGCGTGCGGTGAAGGCCCCTCTGTGCCTCGGAGCCTTCCGTTTTAGCCCAGATGCCTGCAGGAGGCCGGGCTCGGAGCCGGTGCTCTCCCCTCGGCTTTCCTGGGCCCCCGTGGGGCGGAAGGCTGACCGCGAGACCTCACCGGGTGGGCGGGTCCTCACGGGGGCTGAGCACACAGGGTGTCCTTCTGTGGCTGCGCATCTCCACTGGCCCTGGTCCCAGCTCCCTGTCCTTTGCAGGTGCCCCACACCCGGCTGCGACGGCTCCGGCCACATCACGGGAAACTACGCTTCGCACCGGAGGTGAGTCCGTCAGGCCGGGAGTGCTGGTAGGGGTGGGCTTCTTCCTCAGGTGAAGGTGTGAACTGCCACATAAGTTGTTAGTGTCCTCACTGACCAGATGGGGCTGCCCTCTGTACCCCGAGTGGGACTGAGTGTCCCGCCGGTGGGGTCTCCCGTGGCCACTGACCCCAGGCTTGAGAGGAGAGGAGGCAGGATGGGGGAAGCTGCTGCTGTTCTAGGACCACGGTTACGGTTTTTGTCTCCAAACCAGCTTGTCAGGCTGCCCTCGTGCCAAGAAGAGTGGAGCCAAGGTGACGCCCACAAAGGACGACAAGGAAGACCCCGAGCTGATGAAGTAAGCCTGGGCCCTCGCTTGGCAGAGCTGGAGTTTTCCTGTGTCTTAAAACCAAATCGCCCCTTCTCGGCTCCCTTTACGTGAACACGGCCGATCAACAGGTTGTCTCACCACACACACACACACACACACACACACACACACACACGGACGCCGACGAAGGTGGAGCCGTGCCCATGTCTCGAGGGCACACGGCCGCAGCCCCATCTTGGCTTCTCAGGTCTGGGTGTTCCACGGGCTGAGATGCAGAGTGCCCTGCCCCCCCTGCACCTGGGGGCCACCTGGGGGCAGGGCTCCGGGTGTGGGGTCGCAGCCAGGTGTTCAGGGCACTGCTCTCTTCAAGACGTTGTTCTGGTGAGAAAGCTCCGGTGCAGGAGTCGAGCCGGAGGCTGTGGTCAGAGAGATGCCAGGCCCTTCGGGCGTAGTGTTGGCACTCACACACCTGCACGTTCACACATCGGGTGTGAGAGCCCTGAAGGTGTGCCCCAGCCTGGGACCTTGACACAGCTGGTGGGGCGGGTGCGTCCTGCACCTCCTGTGACCAAAGTCCTCGAGGGCAGTCGTCATGTGCCCCTGGGGCTGGTCTGTGCACTCTGACCCTGCTGTGCCCCGCTCGGTGGGGGCTTGTACCATCGCCAGATAATCCCTCCAGAGGGGCTGCCCCTTTGAAACCTCAGGAGCAGGCGGGTGCCAGGCCACAGGTACAAACAGTGTCAGTCACCATGCAGTTTGCCCAGGGCTTTAATAGCCGATGTGGCAAAGCAGGGACAGTCCTCCCGGCGGCCAGGAGTGGGAGGGAGCGGCCGTGGCTCCTTCATGGCCCAGTGCCCCAGGCTGGTTGGTCGGGGCTGCCACGGTGTCAGGGGTCCAGTGGACCGAGCGGACGGGGGCAGCCAGTGGGCGAAGAACAGCCAGGGACCCCTGCAGAGGGGGGGCATCCAGACTGTGCCAGGACGTCCGCCTGGCCTCAGGGAAGGGCCCGAGTGATCAGCGTCACTCCCTTCAAAGGGGACCTGTCAGCTGTTTGGTGTGAGGGGCTGTGCCTTTTTCTCAACTTAAAGACAAGCAGAGAGCGCTAAATCCAAAACAGAAAATGTGGCTGGCGTCGTGAGGGCCGCCTCCCACCGTGGGGGGCGGTGAAGGGTTCGTCCGCCGGGAGCCCGCTGTTTGCTGCGGCCGCGGGAATGGACGTCCAGCTGGGCCGGCCGTAGCCGGCGCGTTTTGCTGTCTGTGCACGCAACTCAAACCCTCGTCAGCATTTTTCAAGTTAACTGGGGATATGGTGCTCCTAATGTGCTGTCAACTTGGTTGGTTTTTTTAAAACAAGATTTCTGCCCCCAAGTGGAGAATGAGACTTTAAAAGGCAGTTCGGCATCTGCAGGACGGTTGTGCTCCTGGTGGGCCCACGGAGGGGACGGGGCCGCCCCCGCAGCGCCTCCCTCTCGGGCCCCCCCCCCCCCGCAGCAGCACATTCGTGGCTGAGTGTCAGCTTTGGACAGGTGCAGAGACCGTCACTGTGCACCAGGCCCCCTGGGCGTCGGGGCTCTGTTAGCTCACGTGCGTCCTGCCTCCAGATGGGCTGGCGGAGAAGGGGTTCCGCTTCATGACACCCTGGGTCTGCGCTGTGCGAGACTGAGTCACTCAGCACTTTGGTCGCAGTGGTCTGTCTGTCTGTGGAGGTTCCGGGCCGGGAGTTGGCAGCTGCACGCCCTGCTGTCCGTGGCTACGGTGGCATCGGACGGAAGAGACACTGCTGTGTCCCTCCCCCAGCACAGGCTCGCCCAGGGACCAGAGAAGCCCCTGAGCTGGTGCCCACGTGGGTCACTGTGAGGTCGCCTGACAGCGGCGAGAAGGTCTGGACGAAGGGCGGGTGGACGGAAAACACTGCCCTGCAAATGGAGTTCCGGGACACAGCCGTCCCTCCAGACCGGGGTGGGGTCTGTAAAGGAGGGGGAAGGAGCCCTCAGGTCCGCCCGGTGCTGCAGCTGCAGAGCAGCCGCTCGTTTGGCCTTTTGATCTTGTGAGGCCGGGGCCTCACCGGCGCCTCAGAGCACCGGGCCCAGGTGTCCCCCGGGACCCGCCAGCGGGGAGGTGCCAGGTTTGGGGAACAGGTGTGAAGTGGAACCTCTGCGAGCCCCCCACGGGTCCCCTGGTAGTGTCTCCACTCTGCACTGCAGGCTGAGGTGACCCCGGGCTGGCTCGGTGGGTACCCTGAAGGCCTGAGGCCCTTGAGGGCGGGACAGCTAGGGAGGAAACTGGAGCCAGCAGAGGGGACACTCAGGCTGGGAAAGTGTAGGCGGAGCTGCCTCTGATGGTGGCCTGGGCCCTGGGTGCCCCCTACCCCATGGCTTCCTGCCTCTCACTTCCCCGAACCCTGGGAACCTCTCCGTAATGGGGGGGCAGTGCGCCCCCTCCTGGGCCCTGTGTGTGTGTAGCACAGAGGCCATGGGTGACGGACATCGAGTCAGGTGACTTGTCGGGTGGAGGGAGGAGACCAAGGACTGCGGACAGAGGGGAGAGCTGGTCTGTGTCACACGTTGGCTCCAAAGTCCTTCCCCATTGGCCCTCAGAAGGCACAGCCGGGAGCTGAGGCCCAGGTCACCACCAAAGGCCATGAGGGGGGCCCTAGAGCTCTCTGCTTCGCCCTGTTCCCTGCGCCCCCAGGGACACTGAAAGCAGCATGGGGGGCTCTCCGAGCCTCTCTCAGCTTAACTCACCTGTCCCTGGAGTGTTTGTGGTTTCCACAGGGACCCGCCCCCCACAACCTGACCTGGCCTTGGGCCGAGTCACTGTGTCCGAGGTGTCTGAGTCACCCCTTTCCCACCTGAGCTCTGTGGCCTCGCACAGCCTTCCTTCCAGGACACACACTTCAGATGTGTCAAAGCAGGGACACCCACGGGCATCGTGCTGTGACTGGTCTGGTCCTGGGATGCAGTGGAGTGACAGGCCCCCTCTGTCCCCAAGCTGCCTGGCTCAGGGACACTCTGACCTCCTGGGACTCCTGGGACGCCCGGCCCCGTTCGTGGTGCCAACTCCCAGTGAGAGGTCTCTGGGAGTTGCCTCCAGCACCCCGGCTCACCTGTGACCTGTCTGTGTCCAGGTGCCCTGTCCCAGGCTGCGTGGGGCTCGGCCACATCAGCGGCAAGTACGCCTCACACAGGAGTGCATCGGGCTGCCCGCTGGCTGCCCGCCGGCAGAAGGAGGGCTCGCTCAACGGCTCCTCCTTCTCCTGGAAGTCGCTGAAGAACGAGGGGCCCACCTGCCCCACTCCAGGCTGCGACGGTTCCGGCCACGCCAACGGGAGCTTCCTCACACACCGGAGGTAGCTGTCCCCACCGGCCCGGCCTGTCTGGGCACCGTGGGAGCCCCCCGTGGGCCCTGCACGAGGCTCCCAGGGGCCCCATGGGGTGCAGGGGTGACCAACACTTACTCGAGGGAAGACCAAGGTGACTGGGGAGACATGAGGATGTCTGTTGGTACCAGGCGGTGGCACTTGTGACCTGTGTCACCTGTGTGTCTATTGTCACAGCATCCTGTCCACACACGGCTGGGTGCAGGCCACCAACTTTTCAGGGGAAGGCCTGTCCGCCACACCCCATGCCTTGCCCCTGCTGCTGGGGCCAGGCCTCTGCACGGGCCTGGTGACAGGACCCCTCCCTGACAGAGCAGTGGGCCTGGCACTCACCTGTCCCTCCCACACCTGCCCCACACCAACCTCTCCTGGCCAGCCCGCTTCCTCTCTGTGCCAGGTGATGGCCGAGGTGCGTGGGGTCCCCCCCGGCCCTCCCAGGAACCCAGTTCTTCCTGATTTTTGCCCTTGTCCCTCCACCTATAAAGCTGATCCACATGCTCTACCTACAAGCCCTTCCTGGCTCTGGGGGTCGAGCAGAGACAGGAGGGACAACGGGCCCTCCTGGAGCTGAAGTGGGCAGGTGGTGGTGGTGGTGGGGTTGCAAGCAGACAACTAGACGAAACGCCTGGTGTGGGGCCTGCCTGTCTGAGGGTGAGCAGTCCCCCCAGGACTCAGGGACAAGGCCTCGGGTCAGGGTCCCGGATGAGGGGTGAGGGAGCTGGGGGACTGTCCCAGTGTGGGGGGCAAACAGACATGAGTTAGAAAGTTCCGTCCAGGACCTTCCAGACTGCCAGCGGTGAGGACTTGGCTGTCATCGACACGTGTGACCTTGCACTGCTTTCTGACACGTGACTTTTGCTTCCAGCCTGTCTGGCTGTCCCAGAGCGACCTTTGCTGGGAAGAAGGGAAAACTCTCAGGGGACGAGGTTCTTGGCACGAAGTTCAAGACGAGTGATGGTAAGGCTGCCCCCCGAAGTATCTGTGTGAGACCCTTGCTCCCTGGGTGTGTGGGCCTTGCCCATGGGGGTTTGGGGAGGCAGAGCCTGCTGTGCCGTAGACGGACCCCTTGACCTGTGCCGATGGGTCTCCCGATGGCAGTGCTGAGCTCTGGTGGCCCAGGCTCCCAGCTCTCCTGCTCTGACCTGGGCCCCGGGCAGGGGTGTCCAAGAGGCCACTGGCAGCCCGGAGGCCATGTCCTCGGTGTACAGGGCCGAGGGTTCAGGCTGGTGAGATTCAGGATCTTCTGAAAACACTTCCCCCCGATCTTGGTCGTTAGTACCTGCCAGAGAGGTTTGTCCTTTCCCACCTGTGACCCAGGGCCAGGAGGCAAAACGGACATGTGGCCAGTGGTCTCCAAGACCAGCTTCCCTAGTATGAAGTGTGGGAGCTGAGCCGCCCACTGAGGGGAGTTCAGAAAGCAGGGGGGTCCTCTGCTTGGAAAAGGGCCCCCATTCCACCTGGAGAGAAGGCCTCTGCCGCGCCCCTCGGCCCGCCCTCCCGCCGGCCTGGGTGTGAGGCTGAGAGCCGTGGCGGGGTCTCTCTGCGGCAGTGCTGGAGAACGACGAGGAGATCAAGCAGCTGAACCAGGAGATTCGAGACCTAAACGAGTCCAACTCAGAGATGGAGGCTGCCATGGTACAGCTGCAGTCCCAGGTGGGTGGCACCGCCCCAGCCCACTGGCCCCCAACCCACCAAGTCCTTCCACCTTTGGCCCCCTCTTCTTGAGGGGGGAAGAGCTGAGCCGTCCTCAAGGCCGTCAAGGGCACCGTGGGGCTGCGCTGATGTGCAAGGTGCTCAGAGACACGGCTGGTGGCCGGGGTCCCGCACAGCGAGTGCTTGGAGAAGCTGCACCTACCAGGATGTGGGCTCGAGCGCCTGGGTGGAGCCGGTGCCACCCCCAGCTGAGCCACGTGCAGGCTGAGCGGGCTGGTGACCCATTCGTCAACGTGCACCTTCGCGTCCTCGCTGGCGGGGTGGGTCGTGATGGCCACCGAGTCTCGTGGTTGTTGTAGGACGGACGCAGCACGCGGCACAGTGTGACTCAGGCAGAGCCGCCGCTGCTGAGTGACAAGGTGACAGAGGACTGAGAGGGTCACGGCTCTCTGCTGTCTGTCCCCAACAAACGCTTGTCACGAGAAAAGCAGTGAAGGGCGTTTTGAAAAGAAGGCTGTAGCCAGCCCCAGGCTGCTGAGTGGGGGCCCAAAGGTGGGCTACACATGGTCCGGTCCCTGTGGCTGAAGGGATGAGGGGTGGGGAGGGGCCAGGGCTGCGTGACCGAGGGCTGAGAGGGCAGGTCGGGGCGTGGGGATCCTGTCCCGAGGCTGCCAGGTGACAGGTCTCATGCTGCACCCTCCTCATCAGCAAAGGGCTGTGGCCTCGCCATCACTTGGAGGCCTGTATGAGACAGTGTCAGCCTCGCAGACCCAGAAGGGTCTTCCTGGGGCCAGTGGCGCCTCCTCCGGGTTCATGGGCAGTGGAAGCAGAGCCAGGGCATCAGGCCCCCTCCGGGCACCCGGACTCACGGCGGGGCTGTGTCTGTCTCTCCCTGGCCGGACCCCTTCCAAAGGCCCTGCGGGGCACACCTCACACTTTCCGTTATCCACCAGCACCTTTCAAAGACAGTGTTCAGCAACACCCTTTAGGAAGGGCTCCTCCTTTCCTCTCGGGGCGGGGGGGGGGGAGGTTGGGGCCGGCGCTCTGCAGAGGGCTCAGGCGAAGGGGAGGCAGACGCTCACCCAGCCTGTGCTCACACCTTTAAAGCCAGAGGCCCGGCACCTGGTGGCGAAGCCTGATGCTCCCCGGCCGCCGGTCACAGAGCCTCCTGGTTGGAGGAGAGCACTCTCCCTGGTCCACGGCCTCCCGAGAGGAAGTTGGCTGTCCCTCAGTGGGGACAGCTCCGTGTGTCATTGACACTGTGAACCTGCCTCTGCTCCGGCTCCTCGGTGCAGCCAGGCTGGGGCCGCCCTCCAAGCATGTCTGCTCCAGAGCCCCAGTGGGGCCCGCCTTCCCCACACTGGCCACGCACCTCTGCACAGGCCTACCTGAGGCTCCTCTGGTGGCCCGAGCCCCCCGAGGCAGGCAGCCCAGCGGTCCCTGTTCTCTGGGACTCCACGGTGGAACCTGCTTGGAGCAGCTTCTGGGCTTCCGACTGGGTGTCCTTTCTGGTGTCCTGCGGGGTCCGGAGAGGAGGTGCCCATGCTGGAAGCCCCAGGGTGCCGCCGGGGTGCCCGGAGGAGTCATCGGCCGCTCTCCTCGGTGACACACTGTGGGGACAGGCTCTGCGCACCTCCCACAGCTCCGCCAGACAACTTGTTGGTCTCTGTGGCGGGGGACCCCAAAGGCAGCCAGACACCCCAGTGGTGCAGAACTGCCCTCGCAGCTAGTGCTGGGCCCGGATGGGAGCTCAGGTGCCTCGGACCCCGTGCCCCTCCCAGCCCTGCAGGAGGACGCAGCACCAGAAGCCACGGCCCCACGCACCCCCTGCTCTGTCACCGTGTCCGTCCTCCACCACGGCCCAGGGCCCAGGGCTCTTCGAGCTCCACACTGTGGCAGGGCCCTCGGGGTCTCCCCCAGAGGGACGCGGGGCATGTCCCGGGAGGACGTGAGGGACACGGGGCCTTCCCGCCTCTGTCGGTGCAGATCTCCTCCATGGAGAAGAGCCTGAAGACCATCGAGCAGGAGAACAAGCTCATCGAGGAGCAGAACGAGGCCCTGTTCCTGGAGCTGTCGGGCCTGAGCCAGGCCCTCATCCAAAGTCTCGCCAACATCCGCCTTCCACACATGGTGAGCAGCCCCCTCCGTCTCCCGCGAACCCCCCACCAAGCCCTCGTGGCTGACAGAGCCCGAAGGAGGAGTGGTCAGTGCTGGGTGGGACATGGGCTTGGGGCCTCCCCGTTGACTCTACAGCTTCTGAAGCAGGTGGGCCCGCTGCGTGGACAGGGCTCGCTAGACAGGTTCTATTCCCCAGGAGCCAATATGTGAGCAGAACTTCGACGCCTACGTGACCACCCTCACCGACATGTACTCCAACGAGGAGTGCTACCAGAACCCCGAGAACAAGGACCTCCTGGAAAGCATCAAGCAGGCCGTGCGGGGCATCCAGGTCTAGGCCCGGCCGCCGGCTCCACTGTTTACCTCCCTCGCCCTGCCCTCCCCTGCCGATTCCCTCCCCACAGCGACTTGTCGGTGGTGGCCCCGGTGGCCTCAGGGCGGGTATCCAAAGGGGTGCCTAGAGATCCGTCCCTCGATGCGCTGGCCGGGCCTCCGCCTCCCCTTCCCCGAGCGAGGGCAGAACGTGAAGTATTACAAATTGGTTTATTTTTGTTTTCTGGACATAATCTGAAGAGCAGCTCGAAGTCTCCAGTGGTTCTCAGGGAAGTTTCGGAGTGTGTGGCCACAGAGCTCCTGCGTCCTGGGGGCCGGGAGGGTGGCCGTGGAGCCAGCCCGCGGCAGCGCGTCTGCTCACGGGGCCAGTGTGGCGAGTGTGTGTTCTGTTTTCAGTTCGTTCACTTTTGTGTTGAGGATGAAAGGAAGCGCCGCCCCAGAGGGTAAGGCAAGAGCGGGCAGCCTGCTGCCGGCGGGGCTGCCCCCGGGGAGTCCGCTGCTGGCGCCCGGCACAGCACCTCCCGTCTGGGGGCACCGTCAGACCCGAGCGGGGGGCTGCGGCCTCTGCCCCCACGTCTGGCTCAGGCCGGGCCGGGACCGTCACTGCCACGTCACCGGGGTCACGGCTGAGCTTCAGCAGGGTGAATGCAGCTGCAGCAAGGTCTGGGGGCAAACTCCTAATTGGAGACCACCCAAGTTTTACTTATTTTTAGATCTAGTCAGGATGGGAGAAAGGTAAAATTTAATTTAATGTGTTAAAAACACAGTGTCCCTACGTGTAAATAGAGTCCAAGTCGATTGTGACGGCAATTCCAAGTTAGTATTTAAAAGTAGAGAAACGGCTCTTTCTGGAAGAAATGAAAAGTAGTTAGTTTAATTATTCTGTAAATTATTTAATTTTGTCAAGATGTAAGTATTTATATTCACAACCTCTTTTATGTTAATGTTTGCTATTTATTTGACATTTTATTTATTAATTTTTTACTATTTTAACTAGACCCCGACACCAGGACACCAGGAGAGAGACATAAACGAAATCAGAGCAGAATTAACTGCCCAACAGTGAGACAGGCCACAAAAAAGAATCTTGCTATAACTTCTAGTTATAATTTTGATGCAACCAAGTTATTTTTTATATATTTTGTTATTTATTCTTTTAATAATGGAATTTTTAAGAAAGTATTTTGTAACTGAGGAATTTTGATAATTTGGGGGTGTCCTTCCCTCGGTCCAGTGGAAAGAAAGACTCGGTTTTCTTTGCCCTTTTGGTTCCTTTGGTTCCAGGCCCAGCGCGGTGGCGGAACCTGTATTTACTGTTCGTTTGCGTGTAGCGCAGCTGTGTGTCGTGTCACGTCTGTGCGCGGGGTCGTTATGGTCGCTGGGAGGGCGTGCCGGCTGCCGCGGCGCCCAGCACCCACCCGCCCCCAGGACCTGTGCCCCCACGGCCCCGACACTGTGACCCTCCTTCCTCAGGAAATGCGTGGAACCCACAGCGCAGCACTTCTCGGTGTGTTTGCAGGGTGATTTCCTAATAAAAGTCCACTCTGACTGTGAGTGTCGTGAGGACGCCGCCTCTGTCCCGCGTGCCCCCCATCACCCGGTGGGGAGTGGGGGTGGGGTGTGGGCTCAGCCACCTCAGCAGGAGCCTGTGTCCTCCCCGAAAGTGTGTTTGACAATCCCTAAGGCACGGCACCTGGCCCTCAAGAGCAGTGGGTTTTGTGGGGCAAGGTGAGGGAGAAGAGCTCTTCCTGCTGAGGTTGCTGAGGGGAGGGGTGAGGGGTGCTGGCCTGGCCATCTCTCCTGGCCACAAGGAGAAAGCTTGTAGGAGAGAGTTTGGACCTTCTTGAGGAGGGCAGGGCCGAGAAATGGAGAGAAGGGTGGAGAGGGAAGAGGAGGAGGCAGACGGGTCTCTCATGGCCTTTCCAGAGCACCTGGGTCCAGCCACACCTGAAGCTACCTCCCCAGCACTTCCCAAGTATATGAGGCACAGACTCCTTTTATTTTGAGTGAAGGTTTTGGCATCGCAGGAGCACCTCGCCGGCTCACACATTAGGGGCAGGCAGAGCTCTAGCCTCCTGGGGTTAGACTTAGATCAGGGGCTTCTGGCCACATCCAAGCTGGGTGTCAGCGCACTCTGGCTTCCCTGGGAACCTGGCCTGGCGGGCCAGTCCGGAGCCACCAGCTAACCTGTGAAACAAGGAAAAGCTTGGGAAATTCTGGTTCTCATTTCCAGCCCTGTCCGAGGCGGACAGGGTCCAGGAGGCGTTAGGTGCTTGGAGGGCTCTGAGGGCTGTGGGGACCACAAGGGAGAAGGTGGCTAACCCCCTGTGGGAGGCCCCTGGGGTGGGGGTGGGGCGGGGGCTGCACCCACTCACACGAGCAGATGCTTGGATGCGAGCAAGACTGACTGTGCGGTGGCTCTTCTGCTGAGCTGCAGCCAGAAGTTCTGTAATTCGCTCTTCCCAAACTGGGCCCTCCTCACACAGGCTGGAGTCCTCTTGTGCTCCTCCCTAAAGCTTTTCCTCTCCAAGTCACAGGAGACAGTGAGGGGTGGCGGGGGAGTGGGGGGGGTGTGGCTGGTGAAGGGGGCAGGGACTCGGGTTAAGAGTCCAGGTCGTGGGACCTGCATGCTCAGGAATGTGGTGTCCTGTACACAGACCCCTAGACCCTGGTCTGACACCACCTCTCTGTGTCAGGTGTCCCCAAGAGAAAGAGGACTGACAGGAGACCGATTAGACAGACGACAGATTTATTTTGACAAACTGGCTCCTGCAAGGGAGGGCTCAGTGGGGACCTTGCCTGGCCGGCCAGCAGGCTGAAGACACAGGAGGAGCTGCACCCAAAGGCTTCTTGGGGTGGGGGATCCCCAACCTTTTCTTCCCAGGGGGTCTGCACCTCTGCTTAGAGGCTTTCACCAGCCTGGACATTGACCACATCAAAGGAAACGCCCTCCCAGCGGCAGGCAGACAGGTGTCTGACCAGCTACCTGGGCACCTGGCACTGCCAAGCAGACACAGGAAACCAGTCACCACAGACCCTGCCCTGAGCCCCTGCACTGCTAACTTTTTATTAGGGTGTTTTGTTTTAAGATGAGAAACTATTTCATGAGTCATTCTGCACAGACGGAAATGGATATTAGAGCGCACCAATACTTTCAGATTGACACCAGACCGCAGCCTCGTGTGAGGGACAGACAGCAGAGAGGCCCCGACCTGAGTCTGAGCACCGGTGGACTCCACGCTCCGGCTGCGCACACCTGAAAGGGGAAGAAACAGTGTCTCTTTCGGGGGAGAACTTAGGATGGTCCCAACTGGACAACTGTGCTGGGGTGACTCCTAGTGGTGAATTTTGCTTTTTGTTATCACAGTCCCCAAGTGGCTGGGGACTGGGGTGCTGACCTTCCTAGCTGATTTCACCTCCCAGTCAGATGCAGGAGAGAAGGTTCATTCAGGTATAAGCCCATCATCCATTTGGGGTATGCCCCCACCCTCACTCTGCTTACTGGGCCAAATGCTCTTTCATGCATGTGCAGGTAAGAATCTCACTCGGAGGCCCGGACACTGGGAGTGGGCGTGAGACCTCCCTGTCCCCTGGAGGTATCAGATGGGTGGCCGGAGTGGGGTTCTCCACACCCTCCCCACCTCCTCTGCCAAAGGCAGTGAGATGGCTTGGGTAGCCCTTCCTGGCTGACAAGGGAGGAGCGCCCCCAACCAGCACCGGCAGGGCTTGTTTACCTGGCTCCACTCTACCAGCCAGAGAGGTCCCCAGTCTGCAGCCCTGACTCTGCTTCCTGATCACTGTCTGAGGTTTAGATACGGCTCCTTCTCAAAAACAGGATGCTGTGTGCAAAACTCTTAACTGATAAAACGTTTTGTATCTATTGTCATCACAAAGGCAATACTTGCCCAGAGTGAAAATGGCCAGACTGCACTGTGGTGAATAAAACGACACAGCATCCTCAGCCAGGACCGGGACACCGTGGAGACCAGCTGACACGTGCATTCCTCGCATGGTGCCATTTCCAGGGCCCTTCACACTCTGTACAGATCTGTTTCCAACTGGTGTCATTTGCTTCCTGTCTGGAAATCTCCCCTTACCATGTCATCCTGTGTGAGTGCTTCTTCTTCTAGGTTTTACTTTATCATTTAAAAAAATTAGCAGTCTGTACTTTTGAAAGCAGTTTTAGGTTGACAGAAAACATTGCAGAGATGTACAGAGTCCTATCATTAGCATCCTGCATCAGTGTGACACATTCTTAAAATTAACATACCAAGACTGATAGATTAACTCAAGTCCACAGTTTGGCTTCATGGATCATGTGTTTGCTGTTGTTGGAAAATATCATTGCCACGCCCAAGTCACCTAGATTTTCTTCTGTGTTACTTTGTAGGACTTTCACTTGAATATTGGGAGGTTTGTGTACAGCCTCGTTCTGGGGCATGTGGGTGTTCATTTGTGCCAGTCCAATTGTTGAAAAGACTGTCCTTTCTCCACTGTGCTGCCTCTGCTTCTTTGTCAAAGACGAGTTAACTGTATCTGTGTGGGGCTGTTTCTTGGTTCTCCGTTCTGTTCTATTGGTCTATCTGTCCACACTTTCACCAATCCCACACTGTCCTGATGACTGTAATTTCACAGTGAGTCCTGAAGTTGGGTGTGTCCACCCTCCAACTTTGTTCTCCTCCTCCAATATTGTATAAGGTTTTCGTGGTTTTTTGGCCTCTCCATATTACTTTATTATTTTTAATTTATTGACTGTTGAGAGATAGAAAGGTTGTGGGGGAGAGAGGGGGAAATCAATTTGTTCCACGTATTTATGCATTCATGGGTTGCTTCTCGGATGTACCCTGACCAGGGCATCTGCAGCCTTGGTGCATTGGGACAACACTGTAACCACTAGTAGGTGGGGTCTGAGCAGTGACCAGTCTGGGGCTAATTGTTCCTCCTGGCTGAGGCAAGACCCTCTGAGTACTCTGTCCAATGTCCCATGGACCACCAGGTTTCCAGTCTGACTAGCAGGGACAGGCACTTCTCCCTGCCTGATGTGACTGTGGCCACTGTCACTCCTAATCACGTTTTGCTGCCTGGGGCTGTCTCCCTACATGCAGGGGCTTGCTAGTTCTCCACTGGGTCCTTGAGGGAGCCTGCAGGTCTCTACGGCCTTCCTCATGCCCAGTCTGCTCTGGGGCTGCCTCCATCTCCCTGCATCCGCAGTTCCATTTCCTCACCTCAGGGAGTCCTCCAGGCCCTCCTGCTTGGGCTCCCCTCTGCCTTGTGGTCTGGAGACTGGCAGGAGTAGAAGGGGGCGATTGTAAGGCTCGGCCCAGTGGTTTTTCATCTCCCAGGAGTCTCTGAGCTTTGCTGCGTAACAGCCAGTGTCCGAAGAACTGCTGCTTCACAGTTGGGTCCACCTGTTGGGACCAGGGTCCGCCTCTGGTTCTGGCAGGCACCAGAGCCTGTCCAGCTCTGGCCACTCCATCTCGGTCACAGCTTCAGAGTTTTTAGTGCAGAGTTTTAGTTGCAGTTGACGAACATTTTGGAGATGATGGCGGTGACGGTGACACAACAATGTGAATGTGCTCAGTGCCAGTGTAACTAATGGTTAAAGGGACACATTTTATGTTATCTGTGTATTTCCACAATAAAAACTTACAAAGGGGGTTACCTGAGTCAAAGGAAGTCTCAGCACTGCGCTTTGAAGATATCACAACCCAGAATGAGCCTGACCAATGGCCACTAAGAGTGACTCAACAACCCTGGCAGGTGAGGGCTTCTCAGGCAGCCTGGGCAGGAGCAACTGCCTGGCCAAGAACGTCCCGAAACCAGGTGCCGTCAAGCACAACTTCGCTGCTCTGAGAGCAGGTCTACCTCCAAGAGTCTGGGGCCGTGAGACAACACCTCCCACGCTGTGTCCCACCGGCCACCGAAGCTTAGGTTGGTCAGCTTTGCCAGGACAGCCCTGTCAGCTCGAGGTGAACAAAGTGGACACACCCTTACCCGGCATCTTCTGTGTGGGACTAGTGCGTGCGCACGTGTGCACACACACACAGACTCCTGCAGGACCAGGAGACCCATCCCACTCTGCTCCGCACACCACCCCACCCCTGCTCCAGAATGCTCCTCCCTCCTGGGCAGTTCACAACTACATATCACTCCTTTTCATAATTATTCAGAAAAGTTCTCTTTGCCTCGTAGAACCCTAAGGAACTTTACTAGTCTTCCCCTTGCCCAAGCTCAGCCCTCCCACATGTCAAAATGGGCATACTTCAACTAAGAACTCCCGGAGGAGAACCACTGATACCACGCGCGGGTTGCCAAAGCCCCACCAGAAGACTCTGATTGTAACGTCCCAGCTTCTCTTCCCACCTGTAAGACGTTCCTGACCTTCGTCTCTCTCAGGCCTGCAGATTTGCGCGAGTGTGCGTGTACTGAATTGCAGCCCCCCCCCCCCATCCTTTGTGTTTGAGGTCAGGAACCACAACGCTGCGAGAGAAGCGTTCACTTCTTCAAATGACACTGCTGGGACTTGGGAGTCATCTGAGATGTCTTCCCTTGTCCTTTTTGGACGAAACAGCTCCGCGATACTAAAACGTGTTTGTTCACAGCTGTCTTTGCTGGACCGGGCCTGTCCCCACTGTGGGCTTCTCTGCTGGGTCCTGGGAAAGAGGGGCGATTCTGCCCCAGGCAAGTGGTGCAGGTGATGCAGGTGATGCAGGCGAGGGCGGCGGGGGCGCCAAGCACAGACTTGCTCGCGGTTTGGTGTCAAAGCGATTTTCCTCGCGCCCGGCTGCGCTCTGACCTCCGCAACCTCGGGGATAAGGCCGTGCCTCTGCAACGCGCCTCGCCCGGCCCAGATCTCGTGGGCGGGGCCGAGGGCGGGGCCGGCGGGCGGGGCCTGCGGGGCGGGGCCTGCGGGGCGGGGCGCTCCCCCAGCGCCGTTACCAAGGCTGCACCCCGGCCGGGCGCACGCGCAGTCAGGCCGTTGCCCGCGCAGGCGCACTGGGGCGGCGGATGTTTACGGCGGCAGAGGTCGGCGCGGCGCAGGCTGGCGGTAGACAGGCGAACGGAGCCCGGGGAGCTGCAGGTCGCGGGCGGGAGGAGCCCGGAGGTAGAGGCGCCGCCGCCGCCCTGGGGCTCTCCCTGCTGTCCACCTGTGCCCGCCCCCTGGCCCGAGCGCCTGCCCCGGGCCCCGGGGTCTCCCCGCCCCCCGCCGGCCCCGTCCCGCGTCCCCGGAGCGCGTCGTCACAGCCGCGGGGCGCGGCGGCTTCCTAAGTTGCTCGGCGGAAAGGTTCGCATTTAGTTTCCAGGCAAGTCAGGAGTTCCCGCGGGTTGACGCAGACAGTGCCTGGGGACCGGGGCGGGCGGCGCCCGGCGCGGGGTCAGCCCCTCGCGTCGCTGCTGCTCGGAGCTGCCGCTCGGCCCCGGTCCCGGAGTCAGGCGGTCCTGCGGGGGCTCGGGGGTCCCGGGCGACACCGTCCGCGGCCCGACTGGCGGCGGCCCCGGAGTGTTGGAGAAGGATGTCCTCGCGTTTCTCGTACGAGCTCCGGTTTTCAGGAGGAGAAGCCGCAGTTTCTTCCGTTGTCCTTCCCGCGGGGGTGCGGCTTCGGGCCCCTTTCCCAGCCTCTCCCACGCGAGTCACTTTGTCCTGACCTTCCCCGGGAAGCGACGTTCCTGTTGGAACTGGGGCCTCCACGCGCGGCCGACAAACCCCTAGGACCGAACGGGACCCCGCGTGCGAGCCCGCAGGGCGGTTCACTGCCTGTGGCCCCGGGTCAGGTGGCACAGCCCCGTCCGGCGCAGCCCCAGAAGAGCGGTTCGCGCCCCTGCGCCCCGGCGGGTCTGCCCGGCAGTAGGCACGGATCGCAGGGATGGGTCGGGGGTTATCGCTGAGCGGTGCAGCGCTGAGCGAGTGTGAGAGGCCCCGGCAGAATCAGCACGCATTCAGCACCCGAGTGTGTTGCCCTGTGAGAATAGCTAAAAGCCGCGTTTGTTGCGGGGAAGAAGAGCACAAGCTTATGGCCGGTCCCAGGTTTGAATTCCAGGCCAGCTGGTGGGGAACTGTCAGCAAAGCAAGTTCTCTGTCCTGTCCATTTGCCTGATAGTGTGGTGAAGCCAGGATGAGGTTGTGACTGGCAGGTGGTGCCTGTGAAAAGGTTGGGTGGGCTGTTTGTACTGAAAAACAGACAAGCGAACACACTAGCTCTTGCACATGAATACACTTTCAAAGCGAGGCGAAGTGGGAGAGAGGAGTGCAAAGCAAAGCTCATGTTTGTCCAGCGTGGCACAGCTTCTGGGTGAGAGGCTCTGGGGCCTGTGGGGGCCTGCGGTTTCGGGCCTTTTCCCGGCACGCCCTGGAGCAGCCACCGACAGCTGCGCTTTCCACCAGTGACCCACATCTTCAGACGACTGTCCTAGAGCAGGGATGCAGACTGCAGTCTGAAAACTAAGTGGCTTATCCCAGATTAGATTTGACCTCATTAGTGCTTTGTCCTGTGGACACAAACTGGGGCTGGAGACCTGCCAAGCGGACCATCCCGGTGGTGAGTGAAGTCCACCACTGGGCCCTCTAGTCCTGCTGATGGCAGTGCAGGGCCCCGGCTGGCAGGAAAGAGCCATGCCCCACACTTCCGTGCACTTGTGAGGAGCGGGAGCTGTGTCCCGGTGCTTGTTTCTTTCCTGGGGAGCCCTCTTCCACTGCGGCCCCCACTTGTGAGCGGGGTGTCTCTGTGCCCAGCAGTCCTCACAGTCCTGTCCTGTTACAAAGCCAGCGGGTTCTGAAGGGAAAGCCAGCATAATCGGCAGAGCATCGAGTCACAGTGTTACAGCAGTGGTGGGTGGTCTCCTTCGAAAACGTGTTAGTCTTGAGGTCAGATGTTTTCCTTTTCCCCCAACAATCGATGAGCTGTCTGGTGCTCTGGTAGCATGTCATGTGCGGTACAGCCGTTAGTTTGAGAAAGTTATGTGGTGTAAGCAGAAAATGGGAACAGATAATTCTGTACTTTTAGCAAGAGTAAAACCTCTACAAAGCACTTTCCCTAAGAATTTGGGGAAGGTACATCACGTGCCATCAGTTGGCCCAGAGGGGATACACAGTGTTGCTTTACGTTCTGGAAGGCAGGTGGGGAGGAGGTGGCAAGTGTCTGACTGCCCTCCCAGAGCTGGAAAGGCTGCATGGCTAGACCTGAAAAGGGGGTGAGGGTTGGAATAGCAGCTCTTCCTACCTGTGAACTGCAGCCTAGAAATGGAGTTTATGTTTGTTATGACACCGTGTTTGTCACCGTAGTCAGTTGGGTGAGTCTGTGAATGTTGTTTTTGCCTGAAGTCCGTGCACCAGAGTGTGCAGGTGAGGGGTCATCATGTCTGCTGTACGTGGGTGCAGAGTCGCCAGGTGAGACACAGGGCAGCACCTACAGCTGAATTTCAGATAAGCACCGAGTACCTTGTCATGCTTGTTCACCTGAGTTCCAGGGTTTTATACTTCGAAGACTCGTAGAAAGAGCCACTGCTCTGGGAGCCGTTCAGGGGCCACAGCCACAGCCCCTGAACGGCTCCCAGAGCAGTGGCTCTGAGAAGCGGTTTCAGACGCCTGCTTTCTCGTGTTTGCATTTGGTGATTTTGCCGTAGGTGTGTGTATCCCTGTGAAGGCAGGTCTGCCTTCAGAATAAGTTTAACCCTGAATTCCAGACTTGGTAGATTGACAATAAAAGTCATCAAGTGTGGAAATCACAGTTTAGTGATGTTTTAAAGTTGTTAAATATGTTTTAAGTGTCTCAGGTTAATTAGAATCAGTCAATACTGTAAAGGACAGACTTCCTTTTGTGTGTATATCATCAAATTTATTTCCTTCCGAATCTGGGGCAGGTGGGCGTTGACCAAACATACTCCATCTGTATTATTTTAGGAAGTCAGAGTTTGCAGTGGGCATGTGTTCCGAACTTTCATTGTTCTGTATTTACTCTTACTGTAAACAGCTCTTCTGAAATGTTCTGACTGCAGTGTTGCCCTCGTTTGCTCGTGAGGATGGGCGGGGCTGTGAGCGCCGGCGAGGACAACGACGAGCTGATAGACAACCTGAAGGAGGCGCAGTACATCCGGACCGAGCTGGTAGAGCAGGCCTTCCGCGCTGTCGACCGCGCAGACTACTACCTCGAGGAGTTTAAGGAAAATGCTTACAAAGACCTGGCCTGGAAGCACGGCAACATCCACCTGTCAGCTCCGTGCATCTACTCGGAGGTGATGGAGGCCCTGGACCTGCAACCCGGGCTCTCCTTCCTGAACCTGGGCAGCGGCACCGGCTACCTCAGCTCCATGGTGGGGCTCATTCTAGGTAATCGGGCGAGTCTGCAGCAGAAGAGAGGCTGAGGGCAGTGTCCTGTGCAGCGACCTGTCCTGCTGCCCTTGGCCTTCTCAGCTGTGGGACGTGACTGTCGGTATCACCAACAGTCGCCGGGGGCTAGTGAAGGGAGCCCCAGGGCACCCTCCCATCCCTGTGCCCTCCCACCTGGGCCTCCAGCAGGGGCACAGCACGCCCCCTCCTGGACAGCAGAGCTGTGGTGTACATCTGGACATGACCTGATTTTTTGCTTAGTGGAGTCACTCTGTCCCCAAACTGACAAAAATTAACTTTAAAGTCCCCTGGGAATTAAAGTTCTCTGAAGCAGTTTTTGTTTGTTTTGGTATTTGAGTACTGGAACAATTCATACCTGTATGTTTACTTCTAGATAAATTCCAGGATTTTATCCGCAGTGTCCGATATCTGAGGATTAATTTAATTCCTACTTGGGGCAGAATGTGGTGGGGGAAAGGCCTGTCGACAGCTGTCATGGCCGAAAGTTTGGTGGGAGTTTATTGAGGGGAAGCGGGCCCAGGTCCTGGGCATCTGGGCCAAACACTGGCGGCCTTGCTGGATGGAGAAGGCAACCCAGTCCATCCCAGATGGGCGGGGGCCCTTTTATTACGATGAGTTTTCAGAAGGAAGATGTAAGTTGTTTTGAAGGGGTTCACGTTGGGTACAGATAGCGGGGAGGGAAGGTGAAGCGGGCCGGTCCTGGGGCCGGTGTGCTGTCCGTGAGGGTGGGCTGTGGGGGGCAGGCTGGCAAATTCACGTGGAAGGGAGATGCAGGCGCCTGGTGCAGGGCTGGTTCTCTGGGTAAGAGCTGAGACGGTGCCTGGGAGACGAGAGGTCTCAGCACGAAGGGCAGGCAGCCCTGCCGGCTCCTGCCCAGACCTCCGGTAGCCACCTCGTCTTCCTTCCGCCCTCCTGTCTGCTGTAATTTAATCTGGACGTGTCAGAACTCTTCCCTTGTCAGGCACCTGCCTCACTGTGAGCGAGGTGGTGCTGTGTTCCCAGAGGAGGGACTGGAGCGGAGAAAGCTGGGTGGGGGCGCAGGAGCTGGGGGCTGCTGGGAGTCGGGTACTGGTTGATGTTGGGTCGCTGAATGTGGAGATTCCCACGTTTTTGACTGAGGGAGGTTCTGAATGTGGCAGACGCGGTATACATTGCAACGTTGTTTCTAGTAGTTGTGAGAGCTGCTTTAGAAAATCTTTGCAGGAACAGTTGGTTTTTGTGGATGTTGGATGCAATTTTTGTTCGTTTGTTTTTAAGATTTTATTTGTTCATTTCTAGAGAAGGGGGAAGGGAGGGAGAGAAAGAGAGGGAAACATCAGTGTGTCATCTCTCATGTGCCCCGTACTGGGGACCTGGTCTACAACCCAGGCATGTGTCTGGGAATCAAACTAGCATCCCTGTGGTTCACAGGCCAGCACTCAATCCACTGAACCATGCCAGCAGGTCAGATTTTTTTATTTTTTTTAAAGTTCATATATTTTGAATTTTGGTGAAGTTTTGAGACTGCAGTTAAGTTTTCGAGGAGTCAAAATTGGTTGTGCAGCCCGGCATCGTTCCAGGGTCAGTGGTGCCGAGAACCCCACTGGGTGCCCGGAGCAGCGAGCCGAGGCGGGAAAGCTGTTTTCATCTGTCGTGGACGCGACGGGCTGCTTGGGTGTGTTTGAAGGGGTGACTGCAAGTTTGCTCTCGTGGGAGGCGTCTCAGGTCTGCCTGGAGGAGGAGGCAGCTGTGCACCAGTACCTCTGTCCCCATCCGGTGTGTCCCTGGAGCTCCCTCCGCAGGTCGTTCAGCCTTGACACCGTTCCTCACAAACCGCTCCAGAGGTCAGAACCTCGACTGCCAGTGCCTGCGGGTCTGGGTCTGAAGGCCTTCAGCTGACACAGGGTCCTCCCTCTTTCTCACCCAGCTGCCTTTCTGCCTGGCCCTGGACTTGATCCCTTTCCCGCCACATTCCGTGCTTGTTTTGTGGGCTCCTGTCCTTCCTGAGGGCTCGTTTACAAAGACATGTTTCTTCTTCAGTTTATTAAACCTTGAACTTTTGTTTCAGACTTTGGCTTTTTTTTAATTGCCACCTGAGGACATGCTTTATGATTTTAGAGAGAGAGGAAGGGAGGGAGGGAGACATCAGTGAGTGAAAGCATCACCTATCGGGTGCCTCCTGGGTGCGTCCCAAGCAGGGACCGAACCTGCAGCCTGGTTTCTGTACCCTGACTGGGAATGGAACCCATGACCTTTGGTCTGTGGGACAGTGCTCCGAACCACCAAAGCACACTGGCCGGGGCAGACTATGGCTGTTTCACATTTTCAAATAATTCTCTAGAAGTTGGAGAATAGGGAGGCTTAGGCTTTGGAAAGCTGTGGAATCAGTGTGTCAGAGAAGCGAGTGTTTTTGATGTGAGCAGAGGCTGCTCTGTAGAGAGTGGCGAGGTGATGTAGGCCAGTAGTGGGTTAAGGCCGAGAACCCTGTGATTGCTGTGGTCGCTCGCAGAGTCAGAGCCTGTGCAGCTGAAAAAGGGGAGGTGAGGCCGAAGAGTTGTTGCTCCAGGCCTGGCAGTTGTCTCGTCTGAACCCTCCAGGTCCTTTTGGCGTGAACCACGGTGTGGAGCTTCATCCAGACGTGACTGAGTACGCAAAGCAGAAACTCGACTTCTTCATCAGGACCAGCGACAGCTTCGACAGGTGAGGCCGAGGCCTGGCCCTCCGGGGCCGCAGTGGGAACTGGGCGAGGTGCGGGCTTCCAGGGCCCGGGTGTGGCTGTGTCCTCACGATTTAAAAATATTTTGTACTTTTAAGGGTTTGTTAACTGTGGTGCTTTGGTGAAGGCAATCTTTCACCGATATAGTAAGAGAGGGAAACAGTGTTCGTTTTGCTCAGTTTTCAGCTGTCTCTGGCGGAGACATTGTGTTACCTAATTGTTTCTGAAAGAGAAGTGTCCCATTGAGAAGTGTCTTTAAATGATACTTGTGAGTTGCTTTTAAACAAAGCATGAGTGTTCCTGTTCTAGGGATGACAACATTCAGAAAAACCGAACGTGTTTTACGTGCCCCATGTCACTCGTGCAGCCAACTTTGGACAAAGTAATGAGTTAAACGCAGAGCAGAGATGAGGGTGGTTGGAGGGTGATGGTTGTAGCTTGGATCCTGCTCACTTGCATGATCTGTGGTTTGGAATTTGTAGGGTTCCAGTTTTTTTTTTTTTTTTAGGTTTTATTTATTCATCTTTAGAGGGGAAGGGAAGGAAAGGAAAGAGGGAAATATCAATGTGTGGTTGCCTCTCGTACGTCCCCTGCTGGGAACTGGCCTGCAACCCAGGCATGTGCCCTGACTGGGAATCGAACCTCAATCCCTTGGTTTGCAGGCCTGCCCTCAGTCCACTGAGCTACACCAGCCAGGGCTGTAGGGTTCCAATTATTAATAGTTTAATTCTACCCGAGTTCCGGCTCCCAGCTTCTGGCTGGTTATGTCGTGTGGCAGTGCTGAGCGACTGTAGATGAAAATACCGAGTCTGTGGTCGGCATCATGGGTAGTTCCTGTGATGCAGAGACTAGATAGAGACTTGGTGGGAGTCCCTGTGGGTGGGATGAACACCGTTGTCACTGGCAGGTTCGACTTCTGCGAACCCTCCTTCGTGACCGGCAACTGCCTGGAGATTGCGCCAGACTGCTCCCGGTATGACCGGGTGTACTGCGGCGCCGGAGTGCGCAGGGAGCACGAGGACTACATGAAGAGCCTGCTCAAGGTGGGCGGCATCCTGGTCATGCCGCTGGAGGAGAAGGTCAGACCCCTTCCCGGCCGGCCCGCCCCTCTCCACCAGGGTCGGCTCCCGGAGGTCGATGTGTCTCCCTGTCGCCTCGTGACTGCTGCCCGAGTCCCACAGACGAGACAGGCGGGGGCAGGTGCTGGCTCTGCAGAGCCACCCTGAACACCCCCAGCCTCTGTCCCCGTCCCGGCTGTGCTGTTGGGGGGTCAGTGTGTGTCAGAAGTGCGGGGGTGAGTCCGTTCTGGTCGGCAGTCTGGTTGTGAGCATCTCACCTGAGTCCCGTGCTGGTGGGAATCTTGCCTGAGTCTTCCATTCGGTCATAACTGTTTTCGTGTGTTTTCTTTTTTTTCTTGCTGTTTCCCACTGCCGTTTAGCCCCTTATACTCCCCACCCCTCCACACTGTTGTCCCTGTCCCTGAGTCCTTCTGCCTCTTTCCTTGTTCCCTCCACTCCCTAAATCACGGCCCCCCCCCATCATCCCGCTCGAGTGTCTGTGATACTGGGTTTAAATGGAAAAGGCAGGCGCGACCAGGTCGTGGGGGGAGGATGTCTCTCCACAAGAACTAGGAAAAATGGGAACAATAAAATTAAGAGAGTATGTGTGTTTTCACCATTTTTGGTAATTAAAAAAAGATTTTATTTATTTATTTGTTTTTAGGGAGGGATAAAGAAAAAGAGAAACATCAGTGCGTGGTTGCCTCTCGAGCACCCCCTGCTGGGGACCCGGCCCGCAACCCAGGCCTGTGTCCTGACTGGAATTAAACTGGCAGCCCTGTGGCTCACAGGCCGGTGCCCAAACCACTGAGCCACACCAGCCAGGGCAATTTTCTGTAGTTTTTAAATGTTCATGTTTAATTTATTTTGATCTCTTTTGTTTGAGAAGCACTCGTTCACCTTAGGAAATGAGTGAATCAGGGACACTGCTCCCAGTTTCCACTCCGATGGCCAAGGGTGGCCCTCGTACCTGCCTGTGGTGTGACGTCCTTGTGAGAACGGCGACTGTCCATGTTTCGTGTTTCAGATCGCACACGGGCTCGTGTGCAGGGGTCGTGACTGTGACCTCCAGTCCGTCAGCACTCACACTGCCGTCTGTGGTCCTGGCCCAGTGGCCACTGAGGTGGCCTCGGGCACAGGCTGCGTCGTCCTTGCGAGGTGATGTCTTCTGAAGTGAAGACAGTAAGGGAGAAACAAGGTTTACAAGAGAGACTGAATCTCCTGGAATGAAAGCAAACCCGCTCACGCCAGCCCGGGTTGGGTCGGGCGGCACCAGGAGCCCCAGGAGCTCGGCTGTGGTGTGGGCGGGGGGGGGGGGGGACCACGCCCATCCCTTGTACAGAACCTGCTCGAAGGCATCGCAGCGTCTGTGCAAGGGCTCAGTCTCTGAAATGCAGCCGCACAGCTAGCGCCGACCCGAGCGGTCGGTGGCGGTGTCAGCTAGTGTTTCGTGATCGTCTCAGAATGTGTTTGCGTGTGAGCTGGGGTCCGGGTGGGGCTTGCGCGTGGCCTCTGGTCGACGTGTCTCCCAAGTGTCTCGTCATCTGTGAGTTTCTTTATTTTTCTTGGTGATTTGCTTGTTGAAGAAGTGAGGTCGCATGCCATGCCGAGCAGCCTGGACCTGGTGTCTCCCGTGTTCCTCCGGGCTGCGCCCCTGGGAGCTGGCGGCCGGGCTCTCGGACCTGCGCTCATGTTGGCACCGCTCCGTGTGACGCTTGTCTGTGCGGTGCCACCATCGCCACCAGCTCTCTGAATTCCGTAGCTGCCGGAGGATTTCCTGCTTGTTGCCTCTTTGCTCCCCCAGAAACGTGCCAAGTGTGGCACCCGGCCTGAGAGAGTCCTGCTGTCCCCATTCGGTCAGCGTGTCGCCTGAACGGGTCTGTGCTTTACGGACGACTGGAAATCGTGGTGGTTTGGCAAAAGCACGTGGGGCCCGTGTGGCAGGCGTGTCCCCGCTGGGCGAGCCCAAAGGCACAGGGGGGTGCGCAGCACGTGTTGCTGGTGCTTAAACATTTGAGGCTCATTATGCCGAGAACTTCTCCTTGTAAACAGTGTCTTCGCTGACATTCGAGAACGTGAGTGACTTGTTTATGGGTGACTTGTGTATGAGTGATGCATCACCTCACGTCAGGGTCACGTGGCATCGGGCTCTCTTGGGACCCTGAATCCGAGAGTTCAGGTCACACGTGGGAATGACTGTGTTTGTGTGAAATGGACCAGCAGCCGAGGCCTGTGCTCACCCTCGTTCTGTCTCCGGGCAGCTGACGAAGATCACCCGCACCGGCCCTTCCGCCTGGGAGACCAAGAAGATTCTGGCCGTGTCCTTTGCTCCACTGGTGCAGCCGCCCCGCTCCGAGTCTGGGAGGTCCAGGCTCGTCCAGTTACGTGAGTCCAGGGCCCCAGTGTTAGATCTTTCAGCCTCATCAGAAGGAGCCTCTCATGGTTGAGGCCAGGGCTTTGCGCGATCACTGCAGGGCAGGTGGTCCCGTGCTGCCCCCTGGGGTCTGGAGGCGACGGGCCAGCCCAGCCTTGTGTTCCCAGCTGGAAAAGTCACACGGATGAAGGCGGGGCATCGTGAGGTCGCGTGGTGTGGACAGGCCAGCTGGGTGGGCGAGGGGCAGGCGGGAGCCAGCCAGGGGGCCGTGGGGGCCGTCCGGGCCTGAGGGGACAGTCAGACCTAAGACGCTGGCCTGGACGCAGAAGGACTCGGGGGAGGCTCACGGGGACCTTCTTGGTGTGGGTTCATGGGAGGCTCTGGACCCTGGTCAGGATTGCATCGGTCAGGGTGGCTGGCCGGTGTCTGTTCATTGAAGCCACGGATTAGACGTCAAAGGGAGGAGTGAGCATGCAGAGGGGAGAAGAGTAGAAATCGGAACCTTAGGAAGCACCACTGTGGCTGGGGAGAGGGGGAGCCAGTGGGAGACTTGGGCTGGGGCCAGAGCTGGGCCGTCTTCCCCAGTGGCTCCTTGGAGAGGCTGGCGCTGGTGGTGGGAGGTCAGATGCCCTGTGAAGGACTCGTCACAGCTGCCTTGGGAGCAGCAGCAAGTGGCAGGGTGAGCCCTGGAGGCCTTCGTGGAAGAGGAGGACAGTGGAGCAGAGAAGGGTCGGTGCTGATGTGGGAGCGAGGTGCTGAGAACGTAGTGGTGGGGGCTTCCGGGCTGCCCTGGAGCGGTGGGCAGAGACTGCGCAGGCCTCTCCAGTTTGGCGGATGAAGTTCCAGACTGGGGCCCGCACCATGGGCCGAGGTTGTCTGGAGCCTCGAGGTGCCAAGGGCAAGAACCGGTACTGCCGGAGCTGGAGGGACCCAAACCCTTGACACCTGTCCACACTCACAGGCCGCGTGTGCGGGGCCTGCTGGAAACTGGGCTGTAATGGCCAGATTCGACTTCTCTGTGGTGTGTTCTGGAGTCTTGTTTTTTTTTAAGAGAACTTTAAAGGTTATTTATTTATTTATCTTTAGACAGAGGGGAAGGGAGGGAGAAAGGGAGAGAAACATCACTGTGTGAGAGACACATCCATCGGTGCCTCTCATACGTCCCCAACTGGGGACCTGGCCTGCAACCCAGGCCTGTGCTCTGACTGGGAATCGAACCTGTAACCCTTTGGTTCTCAGGCCAGCACTCAGTCCACTGAGCCACACCAGCCAGGGCTGGAGTTTCTTTCTTAAAAATGTTGTGGATTTGTTTTTCTCTACTTCAACAAAAAAGGACATAGGCGGTTTGTAAAGTGCTGTGAACACGTTAAGGCAGGAGTGAGCTGGGCGAGAGGGTCCGTGAGGAGACGCAGCGTCAGGGGGACGAGATGGAGAGAGACCCAGGGAAGCGGGCCCAGGCTTTGGTGCCGCCCATGGGGCAGCGGGCAGGGCTGATCCAGCCTCGTCCAAGTTCAGGGTCCCGTGTGTACGTGGAGTGTCTTCTGAAGAGAGCTCACAGGCCTGAGGACACGCAGGTCTCGGGTGGTTTGGCCTGTGCTGCCGCCACAGCCGCTGACGCCTGTCCTTTGCCCCGCAGCCCCCCTGGCGGTCCGCAGCCTCCAGGACCTGGCCCGCATCGCCATCCGGGCCGCCATTAAGAGAGTCATTCACCAGGAAGCGGCGAGTGGAGGCGGGAGCGGACTGAGGACCACCCCCAGGCTCAAGCGGAGGAGAGTTCGGCGCCGTCGGATGGAGACCATCGTCTTTCTGGACAAAGAGGTCTTTGCCAGTCGCATTTCCAGCCCGTCCGAGGACAGCGGCTGCGAGGGCCTGGAAGAGGAGCCGCGGGGGGAGGAGGAGCAGAGCCCGGCCGAGACGAAGCCCGAGCCCCCCGTGAACTTCCTGCGGGAGAAGGTCCTGAGCCTGCCCCTGCCGGGCCCCCTGAAGTGCTACCTGCTCTACTACAGGGACAAGTGAGCCGGGCGGCGGCGGGCGTCCTCTCTGGCCTTCCTGACTGTGGGTTTCCGCCGAGCGGTGGGGTTTCTGTGACTGCAGATCTGACAAGCACGCAGGGGGACCGCGTCTCGCAGGGACGGGCTTCCTTCCAGCCGCCGCGCTCCCCGCACAGCACGTCTGCCGCTGCGGTGCCAGGGACGCCGGTGTCGGCTCCAAGTGGGGCTGCGTGTGGCACGTGAAGGGAAGCACAGGCGTGTGAGTGCATGAACTCTCGTGTGTGTGTGACGCGTGTGTGTCTGAGTGTGAACTGGACGTTATCAGCATCTTGGTTCCTGGCCCTGAGGTTCAGCAACCCAACTTTTCTGAGCGGGGACATGATTGAGAAGCTCCCTTATTTTAAGTAAATGAAGTAAGTCTCGGGAGTTGCTGGTTGTGTGTTTTTTTCATTGTGTTGGGGGAGGAGGGATGAAAGCATCAAAGTGCCAGATGTCCACTGGTTCCAGAAGAATCCGAGGGACTTTTTCCTGACCCTGTGTTACCTTGGAAAGAACCCACACCTAGTGACCCTGAACAGGTGTCCTGAGGGGTGAAACCAGTGCGAGCAATCAGCCTCCCTGCTTTGGCCCCGGTGAGGGGCGGACTGACTTTTTGAAAGGCCCCGGGTGTCTGGGGGTCGCCCTGTGCGGCCCCCAGGGCCCACGGGAGGTGTTCAGACTGTGGGAGGGTCCGGGGCTCCTGCACAGCACCTGGGTTTTCTTCTGTTCTCTCACTCCAGTCCGCTGTTGGCCCTGCCGACAGAGCTGCTCCATAGCTTTTCTCGCCCCTGGTTCTGGAGCAGCACGTTTGCTGGCTTCGTAGTTTCCCTGGAGAACACACACGTGCCAGACCAGCTCTGTGGCAGGGGGTGTGGTTGTGGGCGCGGCTGCTCGCCAGGCAGATCCAGGTGTGGGTCCTGGAGGAGCGGGACCTGTCCTTCTGAAGTGTTGTCCCTCCATCCAGCACGTGGGCTCTGTGCCACATTTCTAACCGGAGGCGTAGTGTCAGGTGTTGACAGTGAACCTGGACTCACGGACACACGCGGAGCCCCAGACCCTCCAGCAGCGTTGCCCTGCGCCCCTGGGGCATTGCTGAGGTTCGGTGTCTGTGGATTCAGTGATGTGACGGAGTTCTGGCCGTTTTTTCACTCAACTGCTTTTTTCCCAAGTAACTGGACCATCTTCGTCCCAGGATGCCGTGTGCGCGGAGCACGGAGGTGTCGTCCTGGGTCTGCAGGTACCTGCGCTCCTGCAGGGGCCGCTCCACACCCGTGCTCCCGGCCTGCGGCTGCGGGCCGAGCGCCACCTCCGAGGGGACGGTGTCTGTGTGCAGGCACCACTCTGACCGCTGTGCAAGGCCTCTGGGAGACGAGAACGTTTCCGGACACGCTGTCAAATACATGGCATCCATGACATCTGTCATGTTATGTTGCCCAAGTAGATTCTTCTCCTGTATGTGGATTTCACTTATTTCCACCTGTGTTTGCCTTGTAGAAAGGCAATCCATAAGACAGCTTTTTCCCTGTATGTGCTAACCCTTCCCTAACATTCTGTATTTACATGTTGTCGGTTGTTACTTTTAAACCGGAACTTGGTTGAAGACATAAAGATATAATATATGAAATAGCTTGATGTTTATCTTGTAAACGTAAAGGAGATCTGTGTGGCTTCCTGGGCGCCCCCGTCAGCAGTTCTGCCTGACGCTGGCCGCATGCTGGACAGTCTATTTTTATACGTGACCTTTGTCTTGGAAGTAGTGAAGCCATAGAAATGTACAAAACAAATATCAAATTTATAAATATCAAGTATGTAATGTAAAAACCAACTGTGTATGTGAACATACGTCTGCCAGCCGGGGACTTTGGGGGTTGACGCCAGACGCTGGAAGCAGGTGTGAGTGAGCTGATGTGCGTGGAGAGGACAGAACGTGAGTGAAGGACGTCGAGACGCTGTAGCGTCTCAGCATGGCCTTCGCTTCCGGTGTGGGATAAAAATGCTCGACCACCTTTTTTTTCAAAAATAAACTTTTTTCTCTCAGAATGTGTTTTCTTTTGCTCTTTGTATTGTTGCCACTCTGGTATGTGGTGCACGTCCGGGTTACTTTGTCGGCACAATTTTTCCACGTTGTGAAAATGTGGGAAGGTGGCCGGGCAGTGACAAGACACCTTAGTGGCAGCGAAGGGGGAGGGTCAGAGGTAGGGCTCAGGGCTGGTTTGGGGTCAGGGTCAGGGGTTAGGGACGGGTCAGCTGGGTCGGGGTCAGGACTTCAGTTTTTGAGGCACACCATTTGTTTTTCATTTCAAAGCCCAGTTCTTTCTGCACCCACTGCTACTGTCTCAGCCCCTCTGGGCTGCTGTAAGGAAATGCTGTTTGGGGATCTCTGGCGGCTTCTAAACAGCAGGCGGGTGGCTGGGAGCGCCAAGGTCCAGGCCCCAGCTTGCCCTGTTTCTCCCCTTTGACCTCACTCAACAGGAGTGCGTTGCTTGCTTTAAAAAATTCTGCATTTTCACACTGGGGAGTGGGGAGGGGAAAGCAGCCCCTGTCCTGGCTGCATCAGCGGCAGCTTCTCCTTCCGGGGGTTGGGGAACTGGAGGGGCCGGAAGTGGGAGGTCCAGGTGGAGGTGCCTGGTCCGCCTGCAGGCCATGTCCTGAACGCAGGGCGCCCCACTTTCTTTTCTGCTGCTGGGGATCGAAGATCACGTGTGGAGATGGGAACCGCACGGGGCCATCGGAGATGGGAGCACTGTCAGCGAATCCCGGTCGGGTGCTGGGCTGCCTCTGCACAGGAGGTGGAGGCGGGAGACCCGGGCCATAGCTCTGGAGCGCTCTCTGCAGGCTCCTCACTCCTTTGGGCAGGCTCCGCCCTCGAGAACTGGTCACCTCGAAGCAGCCCCACATCCCCACAGCCCGGGGCTGCCTGAGAACTGTCCTCGGGCAGTGTCCCCTCCAGGAGCCCGGTTCCGGCTACAACAGTGCGTGCTGGCGGAACACTGGAGAGGGTCCAGTCCAGCGGTGCATGACAGAGCCGCCACCTGCCAGGGCCAGAGCCAGGTGTCACTGGGCCTCTTGTAAGGACCAGCCTCCTCCTGCCATTGAACATGTGTTAATTCGTTCTCCCTCAGTGAGTGGGTCCAGTACATTGCGGTCAAAGGGTTCTGGCAGCCACATCAGAATCTGTGGTCCCCGAGGTGCCTTCTGCAGGGGCCTCCTCACTGGGTTAGGGTTAGGGTTGGGGGTGCCCAGCTCGGGAGGTGAGGACACCGGGTTGGGCCACACAGCAGAGGAGCTGCCCAGCAGCTCTGCCCAGTTTCCGCCCTTTCCCAGGGCGGGGGTGCGGGTGGACCCAGAACAGGGAGGAGACCGCAGTGAGCGGAAGGAGGGGCCTGGATGGGTCACTTCTCTGTGTTTTCCTTATTCTAGGATCCATTTTAATAATGTGTATTTTTATTAGGAACTCACCCATTTACTCTAATTTTCCAGTTATTTGGTTCTTAATTTCTCCTCTCTGTTTTTCGTACAGAAATGTTAATAAACAAATACTGAAGCGTCATCATGAACCAAAGTCTGTGTCTCACTCAGTTTCCCACATTCGAGGCTCAGTCCCGGTGCTGGCGCCTCCGTTTGCGGAAGCCCCGACTGGTCCCCAACCAGAGAGGCCGATGCTGACCACTGGGGTCCCCGGCGGCGGAGTGCGGTGGGGTGGTCTGAAATAAAACCAGGAGAAGGAAGTAGGGCCTGAGGGAGGGTCTCTACACCAGGCCGATGAGGAAGACTGTATTCCCCAGTCTGGGCGTCCTGCCTCCTGGGGTCTCTGGGCCACACTGGAAGAATAAGCGTTGTCTTTGGCCACACATTAAATTCACGAATAGTAACAAAAACTGATGGGCAAAAAAAAAAAAGGTTTTAAGTAAATTATGATTTTGTGTTGGGCTGCGGGTTGGATTCCTGGGCTCGGCTGTGGTTCGGGAACCGGTTGGTAGTTCTCAGAGCTCATTCTGATGAAAGGACACTATTTGCTAAATTCTAGAAAGTAACGAAAGGACACAGAAGGGAAGGGGGGGAGAGGAGGCCGACCACACGTTGGGCAGGAGCAGAACACCCCACCTCACCCAATCTTCCCAGCCGCCCTGAGGGGGGCGGTAACCCCATCTGGCAGAGGAGGAGACGGAGTGACTTCATGTTCATGTGCCTGAAGTCACACAGCTGGGGGAACGGGTGGAGCCAGGAGTCGGCTCTGCCCCTGCCCGGGGCTCTGGCTCTTCCTGAGAGGAAACTGCCACCCAGACTCCATCTGAACCTCCAGGAAGCCCATGCCAGGTGAGGCCTCAGAGGAGGGGAATGTGGGCAGAAGGACGCCAGTGCTCTGGACAGAAGGACAGATTGTAAACGGCGAGGGGACGGGCAGGGGGTAGAAGCAGGGAAATCGCTGTGACAGGAATCTGGAGCTGGCTGTGCCCCTGAGAAGGGCCAGACCACCTCCTCCTCCCGGCCTGCCCCCTTCCCAGCTGCCTGCCCCAGTGCACCCCAAACAGCAGTGGGGTGAGTGCGGGCAGGCCGGACCATCAGGTTACATTCAGGGTTTCTGTGAGCTGGGTGACCAAGATCCAACCCAGACCTGCAGAAACTGTGGGGCTCCTCTGTCCAGGGTGCCGTGTGAGCCCACTGTTCTGGCCCATCTCGGCGCATGAAACCTTGGTCTGGGCTTTGAACTATGTTAGAATCAGTCTTCAGTTTAAATCTCTGTAAAATGCAGTTGACACGTGTCCCTGCCTTGGGTAGCAAATAGGAACAGTAGGTATAATGGGGCACACGAGGGGTTTGAAACAGGAATGATACCAAAGTGAGCTCATTGCCAAGTCTGGATTCTCGGTCTCTGGGTTCTCACAGTGCCCAGGAGAAAGGCCTTGCTGCCACCTCGTGGGCCCCTCGTGAATAGCACCTGAGTGGAAGCAGAGAGGGAACTGTCGTCAGGGGCTGCGGTCCCCCGAGGCCTGCGGGGAGGGGGAGGCGCCTCCTTTCAGGTTCTGTGTGACGTAGGCGTCTCCCAGAAGTGGGCTCATCCTTTATTCCTCTGTTTCCCCCACTGGCAGCATTTTGCAGGACCCCCTTCCTTTTAGAGGTAGAGTTCTCCATTTGTTTTGTAAAAAGACATGAACCAGAAAATCAGAGTGACTCAGGATCGTGTCGCCTGAGGGGGCTGATCGGGGACCGGGAGGAAGGAGCACAGCGCCCGCGTGGCGTCCGGACCACCCGGTCTTCCTGCCAGAACATCCCGCTCTTTGTCTTCTAGGCACTGACGTTTGTGCAAACTGACATACTTCTGTCCTGCCCTGTGAGCAGAGAGCCCCAGAAGGCACGTGCGTCCCTGTCACCAGTGTGTGTCCTCTATTGTACACGAGACGCCCGTCCCCGGGCCTGGCACCAGCAAACGCTTCACACGTGTTTCCCGAGTGAACGCGCTCCCTTCCCGGGGCCGACACCGCCCGTCGGGCCGCGTCCTCCGCGTTGGGCCCGGGCCGCACCTTCCCGGCGCCGGGCTCGGCCTCCCTGCGGTTCTGAGCGTCCGGGCGGTCCGGCCCGGTCCCGGAGCCCTTCTCAGACCCAGTCTGGCCCCCTGGCCCGCCGGTCTCCTCTCCTCCCTCCCAGCGGCCGCAGGACCCGGACGCGCCGGCGGGGGAGCCCGCGTGGGTGGAGGGGCGGTCGGTGCGCGGACCTGGAGGGCCTCGGAGGGGTCTTGGGGGCTATGGCCTGGGGGCCGAGAGCAGAGGGGGTCGCTGCCCTTGCTTGTCCGGGACCTTCAAGAACTTCAGAAGGAGGAGGGACCTGGATGCTGCCGCGTGAGCGGAGAAAGGGTCGGGAGGGAGCGAAGCGTGAGTCGGGGCTTAAAAAGGGCCAAGCGGGGCCGGAGGGGCGCTGCGGTGGCGGAGAAGGCGGTGGGGCCGCGACCCCGGCGGGTCGGGGTTCAGGGCTCCGGAGGGCGAAGCCCGGGTGGGTTGGGAAGCGCGATGCGTGTCTGGAAGGAGGACGGGACCCTGGTGCGCGGTGCTGGGGAGCGGCGGGTACCGGAGAGGGTCGGACCGGGGACGCCTGGGGAGGCGGTTGCGGGTTGCGTTGGGGTGGGGGTGGGGGAAGGGCCCGCGCGGAATTTGGGTGGAATCCTGAGAGACTCCGGGAGGGTTTGGGGAAAGGGCCATGGGATGGAGACGAGACACGGGGCCGCGCTCTCAAACAGGTTTGGGGTCCCTGCTTTATAGCTAAATACAGTCATTTTTAAAAAGTTCCAAGTGTGCTTGAAAAGCATTTTTAATTTACTTTTTTTTTGTTGCTGCTTACTTAAACAATGAGAAAACATTTATTCAAAATTCCACCCCAAGAGTTAAAAAGAACTGCCATCATTTTAGGTATATACACTTGCAGATATGGGTACAAAACTTGTAAATTTTCAGCTTTTATTTAACGGTGAAGATTTTTTTCATAAGTGTTGGTATGTGGTATCTTCATCACCATTCATTTTCAATTATTTTGTAATTCAATTGTGTTTTATTTTTTAGGTTGATTATAAGTGTATTATATAACTACCAAATACAAGGACTTTCCAGTCACCCATCTGTAGTGAATTCCAGCTTCAGTGCAATAGGAGCACTTAAGAAACATACTGTATATGATTTCAATGCTGCGTTGCTTGTTGAAACTGGCTTTTTATTGGCTTGGTCAAAAGAAAAAAACTTTTGGGAAGATGGAATTATGAAGATGACTGAAAGGCTGCAGAAAGCAGTGGAACAAAACGGTGAATACGTTGTTCAATAAAGTTATTGGTGAAAATGAAAGACGTCTCGTTCATCGTGTCCTTAGCTAAAAACCAAATGAACCTTTTGGCCAAGGACATAGTACAGTGTTCTAAGTGTGCATCTCTGCTGCCATCTCGTGGGCATTTTGGGAATAACATGCTAGTGGCGGGTGAGCGGGAAAAGTGGTTGAATGCAGTAGAATACCTATGAATGTTGATTGCAATGTTATTTAGACGTGTATTTAGTAAGTTT